TTTTAATCTTAATATGCTTCCATACAATTCACAATAATTGTATGGCTTCACAATAATTGCCTGAGTTAATGGGAACTAGTTCTGGACATGTTCTGAATATTCGATTAGAGTCTTTTGGTTTCAGGAAGCCTTTTGAGCACACCAAAAAATCATGTTGAAGAACAAATAAAATGACCATCTTAACAGTTCTCAAATGCAAAGTGTTAAGTATATGTGCATTCTTGTGCAACACATCTCTAGAACCTTTTCATTAATGTAATTTTAGTGAGTATAGTTTATACTTATAATAGGGTAATTTGCAAATTGGTCAGGATGCTGCCACATAACGACTGATCAGCAGGAGGGGCAGAGGCAGCGAGCTACAAGCAGTGGATAGCTGCAAGGGGGGTGGGGGAGGTTTTGAGGCAGTGAGCTATGAATGGCAGAGAGCTACAGGAGGGCGGAGCAGCGAGCTACAAGTGGTGAGAGCTACACGAGCCACAGTCGGCAGGGTGGGCAGCTGAGGCAAGCAGCAGTGAGCCACTCGTGCACGGATCCATGCACTGGGCCACTAGTTTCTTTATAAGGATACTAGAGGCCCAGTGCATGAAAAATTCATGCACTGGAGGCAAGGGTCCCTCATCCCGGCCTGCCCCCTCAGGGGCGGGAGGCAATCCAGCAATCAGAGGAAGGTGACACCTCATCACGCCACTGCTGGCAGTGCAAGCCTCAGCTGGCCCTGGTTATCTGAGCCTCGAGTGACCCTGGATGGTTAGGCACCCACCAACGGCGGCTTGCCTATGCCTCAGGCTGGCCCTGGGCGGATGGGCAGCCACTATCCAAGGCTTGCCTGTTCCTTGGGCTGGCCCTGGGCAGCGGGGCGGCCGCCATCTGAGGGTTGCCTGTGCCTCAGGCTGGCCCCGGAGGGCTTGGAGGCTGAGAGGACTGGGGGACTCTGGAGGCAGGCGTGTGGAGTAGCCATGCCACATACCTGCCGTCCCAGCCAGGCTGAGGGGACTGAGTGCTGCTCTCTTGCCACCATTTTAAGGGTGTGACAGTCATTTAGCATATTCTCTCCTTATTGGCTGTGGGCACTGCCATCTTTGTGAGGGCATGACAGTCAATTAGCATATTCCCTCTTTATTAGATAGGATGCTGTAGTTTCTTTATACAATTCTGTATTTTTGGACACTTAATTCTTTCTAGTATTTTATTGTAATTCTGAGTTGCATTAGAAACTCTTGTGACTAAATTTTTGCCTACATCCCTATTTCTAAATCAGAGGAGGTACACATTTTTATTAAAGTTTAATCTTAAGTAAATAAATAGTTGTTTTAACGTCTTAATTGGCTCTAAAATCATGCAGTTCCTTTTGATTTGTGGTTTGATGTACAGAGGCCTAGAGATTTTGACTGGTTAATTTTGTGTGGAGTCTGGACATGTCTATCTTTCAAAATCTTCATAAATGATTAGGAATCATCTCTCTGAAGTATTTAATGGACATAAATAAGTGCTTGCAGGGAATACCTGTTTGCCTCATTTATAGAAGATATTTGGAATGTGGGCCATTTAAAATTAATGTATTTTGAACAAATCTTTTTATTTTTTTCTCTAGGAACGAATGATCACACACTTTGAAAGATCCAAAATGGAGTAAAGTGTGGGAAGATGTGCAGTTGAAGATGCTAGCACCTGAGAAGAGATCATCTGCCAATCCTCTGCACTGCTCCATGGATTAAAGGAGCAGTGACATCCTGATCTGTTCCTTGATCTTTGTGCATTGGAGCTGGCGAGAGGTGTCAGAACTAGAACATCTTATTGAATGATGTTCATGGGATGAAAAATGCTACACGTTTCTTATTTACAACATTGATGCCCCATTCCCTCCCGCACCCTGACATGGATGTTGATGCAACTTATGTGTGTTCTTCCTGAACCTTCTATGATGTTTAAATTGTTTAATCTGTCAAACTAAAAAGTTCAACATCTTTTAAAAAATGTGACATCACCACCATAACATGTAATCTCCAGGAGCACCTGCCTGCAATTTTTATTTATTTAGGGAGTTACATAGGTGATGAGGAAATTGTTAATTATCTTTCCGTTTCCTGGGAAGCGAAGGTTACATCTTGCAGAGGTAGTTTTGAGGAAAAATGTCCTTATGACTTGAGCCATGGTTCTACCAATAATTAAAAGATAGAAAGAAAAAAAAAAAGAGAGAGAGCGAGGGAGAGAAAGAAACTGTTACAGTGTAATTCAGATCATTTTAAAAAGCAAAATCAAGTGCAATTTTGTTTACAAATGGTATATATTAAAGATTTTTCTATTTCAGATGTACTTTAGAGAAAAATATTAGCTTAACTCTTTTGACATCTGCTATTGTGACACATCCCGTTGCTGGCAATGTGGTGCACACTCCAGAACTTTTAACTACTGTTTTGTAAGCCTCAAGGCAACATTGCAGACTCCAGACAGAGCTTTGTTTGCCTTCATTCACTGGGTGTTGCACTAGATGTAGCGAGGCACTCCGTCTAAGTGCTTGTGAATGAGCACCCTGTTAGAAACTCTGATTCTTCAAAAGCAGGAGCTAACACAAAGGAGACTGCTCCTTCTGGTTTAAGTTTTGCTGCATGAAGTAGTGTGGAAACCCTGGACTGCTGCTCATTCTTTAGGGTAACTGGTTCTTGTATCTGGTGTTGGTAAGAGACTGTTTATAAGAGACATCACAAGGTGATGGGATTCATTTGAAGCACTCTATTTCTGTTTTAATGGTTTTATCTACTTTTGCCTTTCAAGAGTTTTGTTCTACATAGAAAGTTCATGCCGTTTTTTAATATAAAAAATTTTAACAAAATTAATGTGTTTTCTGTCTTTTTTTACTTTATCTAAAATGCTTTTTCTCCCAAACTCTTTTAGGATTTTCCTTCCATGGTCTTTATTCCATATCGTCATCTTACTTGTTGAAACCAATAACCACATGACCACAATCTTCACTAACTAATACTATAGTGAAAGTGTTTACATTTATGTAACATTTCTCTAAGCTGTTTGTGGTGTGTTTTTATTTTTATTTTTAATTTTATTTTTAGAAATATATATTTTATTGATTTTTTTACAGAGAGGAATAGAAAGGGATAGAGAGTTAGAAACATTAATGAGAGAGAAACACTGATTAGTTGCCTTTTGCACACCTCCTACTGGGGATGTGCTCGCTACCAAGGTACATGCCCTTGACTGGAATCGAACCTGGGACCTTTTAGTCCACAGTCCAGCGCTCTATCCACTGATCCAAACCGGTTAGGGCTTAGGGTGTGTTTTTAAAAAACATTTTTATTGATTTCAGAGAGGAAGGGAGAGGGGAGAGAGGGAGAAACATCAGTGATGAGAATCATTGATTGGCTGCCTCCTGCACGCCCCCTACTGGGGACTGAAGCCACAACTCCGGCATGTGCCCTTGACCAGAATTAAACCCGGATCCTTCCGTCCACAGGCTGACACTATCCACCGAGCCAAATTGGCTAGAGCTGTGTTTTTTGTTTTTAAATCACTAAGGCAATATCTCTAAGGAGCCATATGAGGAATTGTCTATATTATTAGATTAACCCATTACAAAGAGCTGGTATGATTGTCATATGCTGCTGCTCTTCCATACTAAAACTTAGCAAGTGAATAATAGGATTGTTGGTCAAATATTTTATGAGGCTGGTTTTAAAAGGCATCACAAGGTGATAGGATTCATTTGAAGCACTCATTTTTGTTTTGTTTCATCTCCTTTTGCCTTACAAGAGTTTTGTTCTACATAGAAAATTTGTGCTCAACTTGAGACCAGGGTACCCTTGTCCCCACAAAACTATCCTGTTAAGCAGAATGTATCCTGGGACCTGATAATTCTTTTTCTATGGCTTCTTATGTGATGGTGTATAGTCATTTTTTTTTTTTAAAGAAAGCATTTGGAAGTAATTTATAGTATCACACTGACCTGTTATAGTTTACATTGTTTATTTTAGTCTTAGCCCTTGGTCCTGGAACTACAGGTATTATTAGGCTTTCTTCCAGTATAGCAACTGGCAATTCTAAATTTTCAAGGTGTTCAGTTTCTATGGTAAAAATCAGACCCATAGGTTTAGCAATTTTTTTATTTCTTACTTGAAAATATTTGATTATCAGGAATAACATTTGATAAAGATCAGACAGTATTCCTAATTTACAATGAAACATTGTGTAAAATTAAAATGTCACCAGGCCGTTTTTAACTCATCATAGATTCATCCTTCTTTTCTTTTACGTTTTTGCTTTAAACCAAAATGCTTAATTTTATGACATACCTACTGTTTTCTTGGGGATAAATTGCCAGATACTGATCATTGCTGTGCTTCTCAAACTTTCAAGTGCGTGGGCTCACCTTGGGGAATCTATTAAACAGACTACTGGACATTCCCTCCTCCATTCTGCCACTCGAGAGTTTCTGATTAAAGTAGGGTGGGAATGAGGCCCAAGACTCTGCATTTCTAACATGTTCCCAAATGCTGCTAGTCTAGGGCCCACCCTTTGAGAACCACTTGCTTGGAACATTTAAAATATAAGGGGAAGGCTGTGATTATAAAGGTAATACTAAAACTATCATTTATTTAGTGCTATGTCAAGCATTGCTAAGAGCTCACAATGCCAGATAGGTACATAAAGCCATCGTTTTGCACATAAGGAAATTTAAGTCCTTGGGGGATCAAATTTTTTTTAATGCCACAGCCGGTTTCCTAAACGGCAGATCTCCGTCCCAGGTCTGACGCCAGAGCCCGGATTCTATAATTCCTAACCCTATACTTCCACCACCACACTATACCTCCTACTACAGCTCTAAGATTCCATCATTTCCCCTCCTTTTCAAGCCCATGGCTACTCCATCAGGGAACAGCGCCAGGCCTAAGGGTGAAACTGGAACCCAAGCTCTGGTGCAGCCCTTACACGTGGTTTAAGAACGAGGGCGGAAGGGGCGGGCTTCGGCGGCGGAAGGGGCGGGCCCAGGCCAGCAGGAAGTCCGGTGTTGATGATGGCTCTGCAGCCAGAAGGCCTATAGTCGGGGTCTGCCCCCAGGTGCTGCTCGGCCCTTCTCTTTGCGCGGCTCTCGGTTCTGTTCCCGGCCCGGGCCGGTCCTCTCAGAGTGACACTGTCAGAGCGAATCTCTGCTCGCCGCCATGCACGACGCCTTCGAGCCGGTGCCGATCCTGGAAAAGCTGCCTCTGCAGATCGACTGCCTGGCTGCCTGGGGTGAGTCGGAGGACCGGGGGCCGAGGCGGGGCCAGCGCGGGGGCAGCGCAGGAGCAGCGCGGACCCTTCACCAGCCTGGGGCCGCGGACCGGCGCCTGGCTCTGCGGGCTCCGGCCGGACGCCGTCCCGAAGGGAACTGGGGTGAAGGAGTGCAGAGCGTTGAAGACAGCGAGGACTCTCAGGACGACCCCTGGGATCCCAGCATCTTAGGGAGGTTCCGCCTGCACTTGTTCTGGGTGCACAGCTGGAGGTTGAGTTTTCCTTAATGGTGCTCAGCTTTGGCTTATTCCGATTCCCAAGAAGTCTTTAGTTTGGAGGCACAAGCAGTGGGAAGTTTTCAGGTGTATCTGGTGATTGTGTTGTACTGGTTTGGGGGGAATAAGTGTGTGTTTGTGGAGGGGGTAGAGAGATGAAGGAGGGGGTTTTGAACAAGTTAACACCGCATGCCATTTTCCCCTTAGTGATCATTTACTGTTCACTTCTCATTATTGTAGGTAACTCACGTTGTTATTTAAACTCTTAATCTAGCCCAGCGATTTCTAACCAGTGTGCCACAAGAATTTGTAAAATATGCCCTACCTGACTCTCTAGTCAAGGGCACTGACCTCTTTTCTTTTCCCTTAGATTGTAAAAAATAATTTTAAAAAATGAGAACAGCCAGCACAACAATAGCCGTCTGGGAGTGAATGAATAAAAATGGTACCCATTTTTGGTCAGATCAGAAAAAAAAAAACCCACAGTTTTTGGTATGCTGCAGAATTTTAGTAATTTGTGTGCCGTGAGATGAAGGGTTGAAAATCGCCGATCTAGTCAGATTGTTCATTGCCTTGTATTCAAGTGCCCAAGTTACCTTAACTCTGCAGGTAGTACTTTATCATTCCAGGCTGTCCTGAAGTTTAACCCACAAAAACTGGCATAAGCCTCTTGGGAGTGGCCAGTGCAGAAAACAGGGTCAGACAGCTCTGATCTCTTGCATACTCTGGAGTAAAAAAGGTTTCAGCGGTCTAAACTTGGACTCTTAACTGTGAACATTATGACTGGTTGTGTCTAACAGCCCCCAAAGACCAAACTGAAATCATTTCAGTTTTTTCTGTTAATGTCCAGGTACTAGAAATCAAGGACTGTAAAAAGGTAGCTCAGAACCCTTAATCAGAGCTTACACTGAGGGCCCTGCAGGAATCTCAGTGGTGGCTGGCATTTTATGCATCATCTTATGGACAGTGCCACCCAGTCAGCCTTGCCCGTGATGGGCCTGATGGAGTCTTGGTGGTGGCTGGCATCTTATGCATCGTCTGTGGACAGAACCACCCAGCCAGCTTTGCCGAGTTCTTCACAGCCTCTTCACTACAGATCCTCATGTTAATGTACACCCCGCCTGCCTTTAGCAGCCCTGGGCCTTTTTAAAATCGCATCTCCATGGTAAGCAGTCCTAGTCCTTTGGGTTAAGGAGAGAATCCTGCTTCCTCCAGATATCTCAAGAAGGTTCTGTTCCCGGCCTGGCCCGGCCCTCTCAGAGTGACACTGTCAGGGCGAATCTCTGCTCGCCGCCATGCACGATGCCTTCAAGCCGCTGCCGATCCTGGAAAAGCTGCCTCTGCGATTTTAAAGAGGCCCAGGGCTGCTATTCGCCCTGCGAGCATTTCCTGTCATTAAGTGCTCTCCGTAAAAATCTAAAACTCTAAAAATGAAAGACCTGGCACTGCACAAGGATTCATTCCCCTGTTTCTTCATCAAATATATGTATGAAGTGCCTACTTAGACCAGTCTCTCTGCTAGGGACAGCAATGAGGCAGAGGAAGACACAGTGCCTGTGCTTCTAGGACACCCAGTGGGGGACAAAGACATAAAGCAGATTCTGATATAAGATAAATGATAACAGAGACATATGCTGCTTATTAGGAAAACATGGAGGAGGGTTGCCCAACCCTGCCTGGGACTTATGCTTCTGAAAAGGATGGGTGTAGTTGCTTACCACACTCTACTTAGATTGTCACAATTTGACCCTGATACCCTGTGGAACTAGTAGAAAACATATCTCACCTCTCTCACCAACAGCACTTTGTCACAGTAAAGCTTCCCTCCCTGTGCCTGTGCTTCTCAGGAAGACAGGTTTGAAATGGTAGGTAGCTTTGGACTTGCCTTGATCTTCTGCTGAACAGGAGATACGCCTGTTGCCTACTAAAATAGGATGTTGTGGTAGGGGGCAACAGGAGGCCATTGACCACCTCTTGCATCAAAACTGCTTTATTTTCAGGCTTTAGCAGCAATTAGTATTGCTCTTTCTAGCCGCTACTGCTTTTACCTGATGTTCATCCAGGAACTTGCAGGACCAGACAGTATTTGAGCTAGAAGATGTCCTCAAGACACCGTCCTCTCTCTTCAGAAATGGAAATAAGGAGGGCACTGATGATGATGACCTCTCTAAACTCCAGAGTTTTAGAATCCAGCTGCCTTTTAAGCATCTTCATTTTGGGTGTCTAGTAACATGGCCAGAAAATTCTTGATGATTACACTCTTCCCAAAACAAGCCTTTCCTGCATCTCAGCAAATGCCTTTTCTGTTTACTCACTTGGCTGAGGCCAAAAGCCTTGGAATCATTCTTGACTTCTTTTCTCTTATACACCACATTCATCCCATTAGCAAATCTTGTCTGCTCCTCCTCCAGAATAAATCTATATTCCAGTAATTTCTTTCCATCTCCATTTTTTCCACTCTTGATGAGGTCACCATCCTCTCTCTGAATTACTATGGTAGTCTTCTGACTCATCACCCTGTGTTTGCCATTATGCTGTTTTCAGTTTTTTATCCACATAGAGGTAGAGTGATCTTTCCAAAACTTAGCCTAATTACACCTCTTCTCTCCTTCAGTAGCTTCCCACAACAATTAGAATAAGTTCTAAAGTCTTTACCATAGCTGGCCACGCCTGAGATGGTCAGGCCTCTGGCTTTACTTCCCTGACTTTATTTCCTAGGCTCTTATCCTAAATCTGTCTGGTACTAGTCACACTGTCTTTCTTGTTCCATGAAAAGACAAGGCACATACCTACCCCAGAGTCTTGGCACTCACTCTTTCCTCTACCTGGCACTCTTGTCTTAGATGTTTCTTGGCTCATTCATTTCATTCAAGTCTCCTCTGAAATGTCACATAAATCAGCAAGACCTTCCCTAACTATTCTGTATAAAAGAGAATGCTATATCCATCATTGTGCTATTCGCTTATTCAGTCTTATCATTCCTTTCATGATTGTCATCTAATGCTATTTTATATATTATTATTATTATTGTCTCTCTCACTCCATCTATACTAATAATAGAGGAATATGTAAATTGGTCGGGACACCATAACGTAACGACCAAACAGCAGGGACCTGATGCTGCATGGTGCCTGGTTGGGGTGGGGGATCTCAGGCCGTGCCGGCTGCCCGGCGGGGCTTGATGGGAGTGGAGCCGGCCAGGTCTGGGCTTCCTGCGTTTTCGAGGCGCGTGTGGGTGGTGGACAGGGACTTGACTCTAGGTCCCGTGGCACATCCCAGACTCTGACAGGAGGGAGATTTTCATATACATTTTACTAATTTTCTTTCATCTCTGATAATTTTTTTTATAGAGAAAGGGCAAATAGTAATATTAAAATATTTCCTCTTAATTCCCTTTTAATGTGCACAAATTTTGTGCACTGGGCCACTAGTATTAAAATATAAATTTCTTCAGAGTAGGAACTTTGTCTCGTATATCACTCTGTTTGCAGTGTCTAAAACAGATCCAAAGTTCTAATGGGTATCCATTAAGTATTTGTTTAATTAATGGATAATATTATTAACTAGAGGCCCGATGCATGAAATTTGTGCACTCGGGATCCCTCAGCCTGGCCTGTGCCCTCTCCCAATCTGGGAGCCCTCGGGAGATGCCTTGCAGGGAGTGGACGTAACCCAGCAGTCGGACATCCTTAGTGCTGCTGTGGAGGCAACAGAGGCTCCTGCCACCGCTGCTGCACTCGCCAGCTGTGAGCCCGGCTTCTGGCTGAGCGGTGCTCCCCCTGTGGGAGCCACTGACCACCGGGAGGCAGCTCCTGCATTGAGTGTCTGTTCCCTGGTGGTCAGAGAGCATTAAGTGACCTGTGATTCTACGTTTATTCTATTTGCATATTGGCCTTTTATTATCTAGGATGGCAATAGCTCCCATTTATTGAATGCTAATCTCTTGAGCTTTTATAAATAATTTTGCAGAGGAAGAACCTGAAAATTTAAGTAATTTTTTCAAGATCATGTATCTAGTAAATTATGGATTCTACAGCCTGGTTCCCAAACTTTAATGACTATTCAGAGCCTGTTAAAAAAAAAAAAAAAAAAAAAAAAAAAAAAAAAGCAGATCTGTATGTGGTGTGTATCTGTATGTGCATATACACAACCATATTTGCTTATATTATACAAAGAAACAATGGAAAAATAAATCACAAACTACTAAAATGCTTACCTATAGTGGAAGGGAGAGAATAGTAGAGGGGGCAAGGATGGAAGCTAGATTTCTTACAGTTTTGCCTTTGGAACTACATAGATATCTAATGTAATAAAACAAAATATAAAAATACAAATTTCAGGGCACCGACCCCTGCAGAATCATTGATGTAGGATCTCTGGAAGCAGGGCTCAGGAATGTGTATTTTTAATAAGTCCAAGTGATTCTGATCTGGCTAATCAGGAGCTTATGCTTTCAGAAACACTGTTCTTTGCCCTATGATCTAAAGAAGGGAAGTGACCACCAGCTTATCCCCTCAGTGGCCAGCATTGGGCCAGGAATGGAATTGTTAATTACATGAGGTTGTGCTGGGTTGTACTGCTGGATAGACCTTCAGTAGGGTAATTATAAGCAAGAAGGGCCAGCTTTACTCAATTCCCAGGGGGAATGAAGTCCAGTCTTGTGTCTCAGATTTAGGTTGTCAGGGATTTTCTAGGGCTCACCATCACCTGTGTTACTTGTTTGTATAGTGCGTTCCACTTTCTGACGTGCAGTGTTGCATCTCAAAATGGACTGTTTACCCTGTGCTATGCTTGCTCTGCAGGCTCTTCATTCTCTTTGTTTTGCATGTAAAGCTGTGCTACATGGCGACATGTCAATAGAACGTGAAGGCCCAATGTGTCTCAGGTCCTCTGGGCCACCTGAGTCCCCACTGACTTCTGTAACCAAATTAAGCCTCTTCGAGGTTCTGTGCTGTTATTACATTTCCCTTATACTTTGAGGACTAGGAATGAGTATGTATATAGTGCTTTTACTATTTAAAGGAAAATTGTTACAATACTTTCCATGTAAGATGAAGGTATTTTTCCATAACACCTCCAAATAAATAAAATTTCATTTAAAAACAGCCCTGGCTAGTGTGACTCGGTTGGTTGGCATTGTCCTATGCACTAGAAAATTGCTGGTTTAATTCACTGCTAAGGCATATGCCGGGATTGTGAGCTCCATCCCAGGTAGGAGGGTGTGAAGGAAGCAGGTAATCAGTGTTTCTCTTTCATCAATATTACTCTCTCCGTCTCTCCCTCCGTCTCTCAAATCAACAAAAATGTATTAAATTTTTAAAAAAAAATTTCAATGAACTTATCAGACTCCTTTTGATGACCAGTAGAGTAGACATTTGGTAAGAGCCATCTAATGGCAAATAAAAATACTGTTTTAAAAAATGGAAAATGGGCTTTCAGTTGCCATGCTTATGAGCTTGACTTCATATTGTAGTGGTGCAGCTTCACGAGAATTTAAGTCCCAGTGGAACAGCATCAGAGATCTGCTGTAAAGTAACCTACATGGAAGAACATGTGGAGTGAGACCAGTTGAGGCCATCTATCACAGGGGTCCCTGGAGAGTATGAGACAGAGCTGTTGGGAGGCACCTTGTAGAGGGAGCATAATAGGCCTTGTAGACCCGGTGCAAGGTGAGGCTGTTAAAAGAGAGAAAGAAAAACAAGAACTGGCAGGTGTTAGTGGGCATAGCGAAGAGGAAGCATTATGTTGGCCTTTTGGTTATAGATATTTATGCTATAAGAATTTTTTTAAAAAAAATTGACACTTCATTTTATTTATATTTGAAATATCAGTGGGTTTCTTAAAAATCAACTTTAATATTACTAATTGCTCATACAGTAATATATTTTACAAAGCAAGCACTGTACGCATTCATTGGTTGAATGGCCAACTGGTTGACTGGGCATTTAGTATATTAGGCTTTTATTTATTTTTATTTTTTTATTTTTTTTTTTTTAATTGAGGAAACTTTTTTTTTTTTTAATATATATTTTATTGATTTTTTACAGAGAGGAAGGGAGAAAGAGATAGAGAGCTAGAAATGTCGATGAGAGAGAAACATCAACCAGTTGCCTCTTGCACACCCCCTACCGGGGATGTGCCCGCAACCAAGGTACATGCCTTTGACCGGAATCAAACCAGGGACCTTTCAGTCCGCAGACCGACGCTCTACCACTGAGCCAAACCGGTTTTGGCTAGGCTTTTATTATATAGAATGTTCTGTTCCAACATAAATTGAGCATTCCAATAGAACTAGTGTTATTTCTGATTTCAACTTATGTCATTAAGAGCACACTGTGTTTGCCCAGCCAGCATGGCTCAGTGGTTTAGCATCGACCTATGAACCAGGAAGTCATGGTTCCATTCCTGCTCAGGGCACATGCCTAGGTTGCAGGCTTGATCCCCAGTGTGGGGTGTGCAGGAGGCAGCCTATCAGTGATTCTCTCTCATCATTGATGTTTCTGTCTATCCTCCCTTCTCTGAAATCAATGAAAATATTAAAAATAAATAAATAAAGTGCACAATAAAAGAAGACAGAATCACTTTCTTTTTCTGCAAGACTAAGGACGTCAACCTGGAAAATGTTCTCAGGTAGGTCCTGACTTGTTTTTATAAATATAACCACTGCCTTCCTGACCGCCTCTGGCCAACACCCAGTCTTTTGCTGTGAGACGCCTTATTAAATGCATCACAGCATATGGTCACATGCATATCTGACTCACATGCATATCTTACTACATGTGTGACTCTGGAGTCTGGACAAACACTTGTCCCCAAGGCTTCAACTCCCTTATCTATAAAATGGGGATTTATAAAAAGGACATATTTCAAAGGATAGTCGTGAGGATTGATGAAATAACATTAATGGTATGTGTCACTGTTTTCTGGAATACAGTGCATGCTTAGTCCATTTGTACCATTATCCAGTATTTTATTTTACAAAGGAGCAAGAAAGTTTATGCCTGATTTCTGTTACAAGATCAGAAAGCTGAGGAGTATCTATATGTGCTTAGCTGCTTTTAATGAGTTAATATAGATGTCAGGGTAATTATTTAAACACTTTCAGGGCCTCTAGTTTTACTACAGACCGCTGTCTCCTGAAATGAGGCCCCTGAACCAACAACGTCAGCATCACCTGGGAACTTCTTAGGAATGCAAGTTCCAGGGCCCTTTCCAGACCGACTGAGAGGGGCAGGTCAGGGCCCAGCAATGCGCCTTCACAAAGCCTCCCACGGTCCTGATACACAACGAAGGTTTAGAACCGTGGGCCTCGACCATCTTTTTTTTTTTTTTAACAAGCTTTATTGAGATGTAATTCACATACCATACAATTCACCCATTTAAAATGTACAATTCAGTGGTTTGTAGTACGTTCACAGAATTGTGCAAGTATCGCCACAGCCGATTTTAGAACATTTTCATTACCCTAAAAGGAAACTCTGAACCCATTAGTGTTCATTCTTTATTTCCCCTCAAGCCCACCAGTCCTAGGCAACCACTAATTTCTGTCCCCACAGACTTGCCTAATTCTGGACTTTTCATATAACTAGAATCATAAAATATGTAGCCCTTTTTGTCTGGCTTCTTTCATTAGCATAATGTCCAGTCATCCCTGATATAGCATGTATCAGCACTTCATTTCTTAATTTCCGTTGTATGGATATGCCACATTTTGTTTATCTCTTCATTAGGTGATTGACATTTGGGTTGTTTGCACCTTTTGGCTATTACAAATGATGCTACTATGGAACATTTGTGTAAAAGTTCTTTGTGTAGTTGTATGTTTTCATTTCTCTTATTTATATGCCCAGGGGGGAATTGTTAGGTTACATAGTTACTTTATGTTTAATCTTTCGAGGAACTGCCAGACAGTTTTCCAAAATGACTGCACCATTTTATGTTCCTGCCAACAATGTATGAAGGTTCCAGTGATTCCTATCTTCATCAACACGTTATTATCTACTAGACCATCTTTTGAGATAACAAATTCTGTAACCTTAATATACCACAGCACTTCTTATTTTCCCAAAGGTTAAATCATTAAACTTTCAAAGGATGTCTTTTAGCTGTTATTTCTGAGATTAGATACTTAGTTTCATATTTATACTATCCATTTTATGATTTTATAAATTTCCATGATGTTTTATGGCAGTTTAATTTAGAAACAATGAAGCCAGGGCATTTTTTCCTTTAATACTATTAATTTTCTCTCTCAAAGTTGCGCTAGGTCTTATTTTCAGGGGATGTCTTATCTTTCCATGCGCTAGGTCTTATTTTCGGAGGATGTCTTATTTTGGGGGAAACACGGTATGTCTTGCCTGGTAATTGTTGAATAAATGTTTTTTGATTGGTTGATACTCAAATAGTTCTTGACTATAAACGTTCTTTAGCTTTGCAAAACACCTGCTATCAAAAAGACACCTCTCACTTCTTGACCCTTTGATTCTGATTACCACCCCCAGAGAAGGAAAGAGGGTCTGACAAAAGCTGACTGGTGTTTCCCACGGCTCTTCTTTTTTTCTTTTCCAGAGGAATGGCTTCTTGTTGGAACCAAACAAGGACATCTTCTTCTCTACAGGATTCGGAAGGATGTTGGTAAGTGGCAACTTTCCAGAACTGGAAAGAAATGGCTTATCCATGCAAAAAAGAAAAAGAGTTTTGATAATTAGCTACTGTACAGCTGTGAAATCGGTGCTCTCTGGACCATGAAAAGAGTGCTAGGGGACGGGGAGTAGCGTTGTGGGAAAGTGGGGAGAATCTGTGAGAATCTTCAGGGTTTTCCTGATCTTCAGGCCATATGCCCCTGTGTCCATGGGGATGGTGAGGCCGGGGTAGGGGATTAGATGTTCCCCCTTCCTCATTTTTTGGAGACTTACTGCTAGAAATAAGAAATGATACGTTGGGAAATAAGATGTTTCTGTAAATGATATGGTAGTAGAAAAGTATTAGGAAACATTGATTTAAAAGACCTCATTGATCATGAGGGGTAAACTAGGAGAAAAAGGATCTATGTTTGAGTCCAGCTTTATTTCGGTTTGGCTACTTGACTGAGTAGGTCCTTTTCAATGTCATTTTTCTCTTCTATAAACTGTCAGTTTTTAATCACAGATTTGTTGGGGTCAGATTCAGTAAAATGTTTGAAAGAACTTTATTTTTTTATTTTTATTTTTTTATTAAATTATTATCCGTGTACATATTTTAACCTTGCCCCCCCCTACATACTGAAAGAACTTTAAAAACTAATGTTCTAATCAAATGTGACTTAAAATAGTAACTAAAAAGTATGTGAAATTTATTCTGTTAGAGTATCCTATAACAGAAAAAAAAAAAAGTAGCTCATTTCCTTTTCCTAATTTTATTTCCGTGCTCTCTTTATGGAAAATTATTTTGTTTGGATATTAAGCCCTGGAGCTTCAGTCTGTAGAAATCTGCTGTTAATGCCACAGTAGGTTGAACCATATGAAATTGTCATTATTCAGCCATATTAGAAAAAAACAAAATTTCATAGCTTTCAACCTGATAAATAGCTTTCTATAGTAAATAGCTTAAGGAAACATGAAAATAGAGCCTTCTTTTTAGAACCTAGAGCAAAGGTAATATAGAGAGAAAAGAACATCTTACTAGTATAGGGAAAGAGAAAAATTATTTTCCCCCTATTCATTTTAGGTTCATTGGCTAAAGACCTGTAAATTAGACAAAGGACAGATTAACAGGAGGAAAACAAGTAGAGGTTTATTAACTTGGAAATTGTACATACACACGAGAGCACTCAGAGATGAATAAGGCAAAGGGGTGATTTGAACTTTGTATCATCATAACAAGCAAACAACAACTTTTTAGAGAAGTGACCAGATAAAAGAAAAAGATTGTGAGTTTCTAGAATGGCAAATTGTGGGATAGCAAATATATGGGGGGTCTAATTGGAGATAAGTTTGCTATGCAGATTTCTCTGCTGCCATCTCTGGGCTGAGAGGGTCCTGAGTTGTTTGCAGTGATTAAATTCTGTCCTTCCTGATAGAAAGGGGAAAGTCAGCTTTGTAAATTTATGTCGTGCTTTTAGGCAAGTAGTAGAACAGAGAGAGTTGGTGTGTTGTTGTTTTTTTTTAATTTGTTTTTATTGGTTTTAGAGAGAGAGGAAGGGAGAGGGAGAGAGTGAGATATTGATGAAAAAACATCTATCGACTGCCTCCTGCATGCTTCCTACTAGGGATTGAGCCTGCAACCCAAGCTTAAACCCTGACCCGGAATCGAACCAGCACCCTCTCAGTGCATGGGTTGACGCTCAACCAACTGAGCCATATCAGCCAGGGCAGAGAGAGTTTATCTTATATCTTCTTCTCAGTTGCCTCAGCTCAAAATAATTCTTAAGCCAAAGTAGCATATTTGGTGTGGCATATTTGTTTACCCTTCACTGTGGTGCAGTGAGAAGAGAAACCAGTTCAAATCAGAGGATTTATTTCATTTTCAAGTATTTCAACTTTCTTTTTCAATAGCAATCACAAACTTGTTCCAATAAGGACCCAGTAGTAACTACTTTAGGCCTTGCAGGCCATAAGATCTGTTGTGATCACTGAATCTGCCATTGTAGCAAACAGGCAGCCATAGGCAATATGTAAAAGAAAGGGCATGGCTATGTCCCAATAAAATTTTATTTACCAAACATGTCAAAGGCTGGATTTGACCCAGGCACAGTACTTTGCTGGCCTTTGCTATAAATTTTTAGTTTTCTTTTTTTAAAAAATATATTTCTTTATTGATTTCAGAGAGGAAGGAAGAGGGATAGAGAGATAGAAACATCGATGAGAGAGAAACATCGATCAGCTGCCCCCTGCACCACACCCCCTACTGGGGATGTGCCCGCAACCACGGTACATGCCCTTGACCGGGATCGAACCTGGGACCTTTCAGTCCGCAGGCCGACGCTCTACTCACTGAGCCACACCGGTTTGGGCATAAATTTTTAGTTTTCAGAGCTAGAATATTTGCGTTCTGTGACATCTACCCAGTCTATAATTTGAAAATTAAGCTTGCCTTGGATTTTATTCAGCATTCAACAGCTGTGTTTTACTTTGGGCTCAGATACTGTGCAGAACGAAGATAAGAGCCTAATATTCTTTTCCCCTAATAGATAATTAGTTCTTTTGCCGTCAAACACTAAGTACTACAATAAAGCCTCTTGTTTAATATACCATTTCTGCATAAGTGATGAGGAATTGACAACTAGACTATAAAAATTAGATCTTTCAACAAGGTATGGACTCAAACTGATAATAGTAGTGTTAATTTGACGTAGACCCCCGAGGTGTGGCTGTTTCTTGTCCTGTGATCAATTCACCATGTGCCCTTTCACAAGTTAATCTTTCTGGGCCTCAGTTCTCTCATCGGCAACTTGAATAGCAATTTTAGCCTACCTTAGACTATTAGGAAATCAAACTCTACTTAGAAACTTTTCTTCTTCCTATACCCTTTCAGTTCTGGCCTCGCTCTGGTCTGCTTAAGGCCCAGAAATAGGCCTGGGCCAACATGATTCAGCCATAGAACTAAGTTGGCTTCTCAATTGGAGATATTATAAAGCCGGAGAGGTCTGCCACTGGACTGTCTTTCTGAGGAAAGGGAGTGGGTAACAAGATGTCAAGGAAAGACCCGTATTAAGGGGACCGAGTTTTGATTTGAACTGAGCCATCCCCTTTAGCTCAAAAGGTCTCTAGGCCTCATTCTACTCATATCTTAACCACCGGGGTTAGATTAGTTCACATCTAAGGTCTTAACAACTTTAGGTTTGCTTCAGTGGTGCTGTCTGCCCCAGAGCAGTGATTCTCACAGTGTGGTCCCCAGCTCCTTTCTGAAGATCGACAAGGTCAAGACTAAGTTCACAGTACCAATAAAAGATTACTGGTTTTTTTTTTCCACTGACGGTTATTGACATTTCCACTGATGATATAAAAGTAACGGTAGCTAAAACTGCTGACCCCAACCCCACTGGTGTGACTCAGTGATTGAGCGTCGAACTATGAACCAGGCGGTCAGGGTTCTGTTCTTGGTCAGGACACAGGCCCGGGCTGCAGGCTCGATCCCCAGTAGGGGGCGTGCAGGAGGCAGCTGATGAATGATTCTCTCTCATCATTGATGTTTCTATTTCTCCTCTCCTTTCCTCTCTGAAATTAATAAAAATATAAAAATAAAATAAAAACGGTTGGCCCCTTAGCACAAGTTCAAGACAGTGGTCAACAAACTTGTTGCTACCGAGCTGTACTAGTAGTTGTGTTATTCTCCATCACGCACTCACAGTGGTTTGGGGTTTTGTTTTGTTAAAGCCAGTTTCATTTAAGAATGTTCTTTGTGAGGCAGTAAAAAGTCTTCATTTCATTATATCTTCACCGCTGAGAACACATCTTTTCAATAATCCCTGTGACGTCGCGCGGTTCTCCCAGAGCTGCTCTGCTGGGAGCCCAGGCGCGGCGCGCAGCTGCGGTCTCGGTTTGGAGGAGCACTCGTGTGTGAGAGTTATGAGCCAGACTGGCCACTTTTCTCACGGAGCATCGTTTTTGCTTGAAAGAATGACTGACACATAGACTATGGTGTTTCAGACCATTTGGGTATTTGGTAGATATTTTCTCAAAAATGAGCAAAGGGAATCTGTCATTTAAAAAAAAAAACACCTGGCATTTTATTGCTAATGATACAATTAAAACTTTCAAGAGAGAATTAGAATTGTGGAAAACTTGTATGCACCCCCATGAGCTTGACAGCTTCTCAATACTAAAGATTTTTTAATGAGATTGGGGACAGGCGATAATGAGTGATTAAAAATATATATCCTATGTTGAAATGTGCCTATATTTAGAAAATCTGCATAACTCAGTACCAATATTTTCTGGTGCATGTATTGAAATAGTTTCTAAATCATGAGTAAAAGATCCATTTAAAGAGTATGATAGACCAGTGGACTTTAACAGAAAAGTTCATTAATAGGTTTCAGATTCCACATTGTAAGACAATTCATTTGTCAAGTTTTGGAACAGTATCAAAGATGATCACAATTAATCTAGAAAACTATTAAAATATTCCTCCTGTGTCTAACTATATGCCCATGTGAGGACAGATTTTTGTCCTATACGGCAGCCAAAACAGTGTATCAAAGCAGATTAAATGCAGAAGCAGATATGGGAGTCTAGCTGTCTTCTGTTAACCTGGACACGAAAGAGATTTGCAAAACTATACAAAAAAAACTGCATTTTTTTTTAATTTGGAAAAATAGCACCTTTTTTGGTTAAAATATGTTATGCTAAATGCAATGGGTATATTGCTTGTTATTTTTGAGTTAATAAATACATATTTAAATTTTTTTCAGTTTTAATTTCCAGTATGGCAAACATTGCTAGTTGTAACCCACATAAAAGTTTTAGGGTCCTCAGTAATTTTTAAAATTATGAAGGGGTGCTGAGACCAACCTTAAAGCCAGGGGTGGGGAACCTTTTTCTGCCAAGGGCCATTTGGATATTTATAATATAATCTGTGGGCAATACAAAATTATCAACTTAAAAATTAGCCTGCTATATTTGATCAGACATTTATTAACTCACTCCTAATGCCTTGGCAGGGCCAGACCAAATGATTTCTTGGGACTCATATGGGCCTCTTTTTTTTTTTTTTTTTTAACATGAATGTTTCAAGAAAAATTATTTTAATGTTACACACCATAAACATTAATGGGGAAGTGTGACTAGCTTTGGTGGCATGGGCCCTGGTGGCTGCCTCAGTGAATCTCTGCCCACTTTGGGGTGGGCAGGAGCCCACCGAGGAGTGGGGAGCAACAGGGGGCAGCAGTGTGAGCGGTTTTCCACACGCTGAGAGGCAGGGAGCAAGGTGCGGACTCCGCACAGGCCGGACGGTCCGCCCGAGTTTGTTCTGGGCCGTCTTTCCCTTCGCCGCTAGCGAACTGCTCGACCCATCAGGCCCCTCAGATAGGAAATTGGAATAACAGTACTGATTTCTTGGGGGTAGTTGTGAGGTTACAGAAAACACTTACCCGTTTTTAAACCCAATTAATGATAGCTGCTGTTATTAGTAATTATTTCCTTTTTGACTCTTTGGTGACTTTTGAGGCTGAATATTTTTATCGTCCCAGCAAGGCTGGCTTCACATGTTTTTATGGTACATAACTTTCCCCCCCCTTTTTTGAAACAGTGCCAGCAGCTGTGGCATCACCTGAAAGCGGCAGTAAGTGTAGATGCACTAAATTGCTTTAGCTCTGGGCATGGTGCTGAGTGTGTTTGCTCTGTCCCAGAACAGCGGGTAGCAGTTGGGAGTTTGGTGGAATTGGATCTAAGGCTGCTGTGGGCTGGTTTTCATTGCTTGGTCTTAAACATTTGACTGTTGCTCTTTATACTCTTTTTTTGTGTGTGAAATACTTTGCCAAGGTACTATTTTGCAGGATAAGATGTTCAGACTCACAAGTACCTTGCAGCCTCAGTAAACTTCTGAGGTGTCACACTGCCTGCTGATGCCACGTGGAAGCGCATGAAACCCTCTGCGCTAAACTTGGAGTTGAAAGCAACTTACTGTAGCTATAAAGACAGCTGGCTCGTGTACATCTCTGACTTCTGGTCTTCTAGGAGTTGTTAAAGATTCATGGAGGAGAGCAGTATGGAGCAGCATTTTGTGTTGTCATTATTTTAAAGATGGTCCTGTGCTTGGAACTGTGTTTCTTTCTTTCCCATAGGTTGCAACAGGTTTGAAGTGACACTAGAGAAATCCAACAAGAACTTCTCCAAAAAGATTCAGCAGGTAGGCAGTGATGGTGGTTGCTACATTTATATTTGACTTCTCTGAGACCCTGTCAGAACTAGAACTTCCGTCACATCAGTTAACTCTTTGAGTCCTCTGCTCTGTCCTCCCCTTTATTCAGGGATTTCTGTCTGATCATTATGTGTCTGAGATGCTTTCACAAGCAGAAACTGGGATTGCACATAAATATAAGTCAGATCCCTGTCATTGGTGTAGGCTCTTTAGGGCCTTTTTATTACTGTAGTTAAATGAATGTTTGTTAACCTTTGTCAGGGTTAATGTTTAAGTCTAATGATTTGCTCTTTTCCAGATCCATGTGGTTTCCCAGTTTAAGATTCTAGTCAGCTTGTTAGGTAAGAAAGGGGGCTGTGATTGTATTTCATCTGTCAAAAAACACAGGCTATGACCTAATTAATCCTTTCATGGTTAATTTGATAATTGTTACTAACAATGAAACTGGCTTGTTCCAAATCCTATATAATAAAAGGCTAATATGCAAATTGACTGACAGTGGAATGACCAGTTGCTAGGACGTTCACTGACCACCAGATGCTCAACGCAGTAGCTGCGCCCTGGTGGTCAGTGCGCTCCACGGGGGGGGGGGGGGGGGGGGGGGCGAGGGTGCTGCTCAGCCAGAAGCTGGACTCAGGGCTGGTGAGCACAGTGGTGGTGGCAGCAGTGCTAAGGATGTCCGACCATGGGCCTAAGCCATCAGTTGGACATCCCCTGAGGCCTCCCAGACTCAAGAGGGCATAGGCTGGTCTGAGGGATCCCTCCCCACCCCCTGCCTTCCCTCAGTGCATGGATTTCATGCATCACACCTCTAGTAATATATAACAGGCTACACAGGTAACTAAGGTAAGAACAGCCTCCATAAACTTGAGCTCTGTTCTCCAAGAAGTGTCAGTTCATTTATTCACTCATTCATTCATTCCTCGGTAATTGAGCAAATATTCATTGAGACCTACTCTAGGCATTGGGGATACTATGTGGAATGAGACATGGTTTCTATCTTATGCTCCAATTGTGAAGACTGAAATGATAGAAAGTAACCATAATACAGCGTGGTAAGTTACAGTGGAGAGTTATAAAAAGTGTTGTGGGATCTTAGTAATGGGAGGGACAGCATTATCTAGTGGGTGACTAGGATTTTGACAGAAAGTGGTAGGCAGAGCATTGTAGGCGGAGAAAAAAGCTTAAAAGGCCCCGAGAACAGGCCAGACTTAGGTGGAGAGTGGCGAGAGGAAGGTGAAAGTCAGATCAGGGCAAGACTGTCCATGGCCTTGTGTGACAGCCACAGTCTCCCTGAAGGCAGCCAGAGAGGACTTTCCTTGGTGAGCAGATGACCAGAAGCCTGCTGCACACTCGGTACTGTTCAGCCCAGGGCCCACATGGTAGAGTCATGTTAAACCTGGATTTAAAATGGAGAGAAGCATTGAAAGTAGCAAGTCTTCATAGCAGAAGCTGGATAGGAGGCCTGAGTGAAATTGTCTTGCCTGCTTTGCTAGAAAAGAAATCCTTGCAATTGGTTTGTACAAAATCCACGAGGGTTTCCTTTCTCTTATTGGAGCCTTCCCATGGAAGTAGCTTTGACAACCGTTTCTTATGCAAACATTGCATCACAAGTTTCCAGACTTGAGAAGGAGTATGAGAGTGCTTGGAAGAGGGTCTTTTATTTAAACCGGCCACAATTTAAAGGAATAAAATATCCAAGTTCAGAAGACTGAGTAACCTCTTCCAGGTTTTGTAACAGACCAGAGTAAATCATTGTTAGTGAAAGTGAAGGTGCATCTACAACCAACAGTTGCCATTTGGTTCTTCTGGTTGTTACAGTTTTGTTGTTGTCTTGAAGGTGGCTATATTAGAGAATTGTGATAATTTATTGTGATGTTTTGCCTCCTTCTAAACAGAAAATAATATTTATGTCCACGACCTATTGACATTTCAACAAATCACTACGGTTTCAAAAGCAAAGGGAGCATCGCTGTTCACATGTGACCTCCAGGTAAGTGTAGGCAAGATGAAATTCAACGTTGTGTTAAATAAAAAGTCTTTCCTCTATCGTTTATACTATTAGATGGGAAGAATAACACTGATATCCAATCCCAGCAGAGACTCCGCAGAGAATATTTGATTTTGGGTTTTATTAGAGAAATTTCCCCGTTAGCATGTAGTCTGAGATGAAGCATTTGCATTCCTGCTATGTGTGCCAATTAAAGCACCAGATATCTGTATGGCAGGAGGCAGCTAACCAAGGATAAAAACAACTGTGATGGAAGAATCATTACTGGGAAATGAAACCTGTAACAGTTCCATGAACATAGCTATGAGACATTAAATTACTCTTATTCTAAGCATATCATCATGGCTCTGTCTTTAGGGAGCTTTTGTCATTCAGGAAAGACATTTCTCATTTTTTGCTAATTCACCACCCTTATATTCTTCAAAATTTGCCTTACCCACAACTTTGATCACTTTTTGGCATTTATGATCTACATTGTTTTATGCATACACATTTTCTTTACCACCAACTCCTTTTTCTTTTTAAATTAAAAAAAAAATTATTTCAGAGAAAGAAGGAGAGAGAGAAACATTGATGAATCATTGATCGCCTGCCTCTTGAATACCTCCTATTGGGGATTGAGCCTGCAATCCGGACATGTGCTCTGACTGGGAATCAAACTGGCCACCTCTTGGTGGATGGGATGATGCTAACCACTGAGCACACTGGCTTGGTTTTCCCCCCCTCCGCCCCCACTTCTTTAAAGGATCAAAAGTGACCACTGGCCATGCTGATCTCAGATCCAGCATGAATTGACAGCCATGAGCGAGAAGCATTTAAAGGGAAAAAAGGAGGAAGCGGTTATGTAGGAAAAGGCCTGCCCTGGGACTTTCCTCTCTGAATTGTGAATGTCCACAAGGGCTGCTGGTGCGAGGGCCTTTGACCAGCAGCCCGTGGGGAGGAAATGCTCTCGGCCTGTTGGTTCTGAATATATCTTAGAGAACGGTATCCTTCAGCTCATGATGGGATTTTCAGACTAGTAGCCATTTCAAGCAGAAAACCTCTAGCCTTGTTGTCATTCAGCTGCAGAGTAATTGTGTGCACACCCTCATTTGCTCTGGGTGTGTGTTTACAGCACATGGAGACCGGTGAGGAGGTGTTGCGGATGTGTGTGGCCGTGAAAAAGAAGCTGCAGCTCTATTTCTGGAAGGACAGGGAGTTTCATGAACTGCAGGTAAAGTCCACTGCCACCTGGGCCGTAGGTTGCGGGGGGGGGGGTGGGGGGTGGGGGGGGGGGGCTCCAGCTATAATTGACTCACAGCTTGAAAGACTAAGGTTCCGTGTGGTGAAAGTCATGGTCCCAGGCTTGGAGTTCTCTCCAGATGAATGCTCTGCTGGGTACACACAGAGCTTCTTCATGCCCATTGGTCAGTCTCGTGGTCTCCAGAGGCAGCAGTAGTACAGTTGAGGTGCAACTGTACAGATTGGTTTCTTCAAAGTGAGTTTTCACCTTTCCAAATGCACCTTGTCTGGTACTTGGGTGACTTACAGTCAGTCCTCTCTGAACATTGTTAATAGGTTCTGCAATTTTAAGCAAAATGACATTTAACAAAATAGGCTTGTTGCTATAAACAGGAGTTAAATTTTTACAGCATCTTGTCAACGTTATAACAAAATGATGTTGAATGAAATGAAGTTATTCAAGGACCAGCTATATTTTTATTATGGGTGGTTTCCTGGTCTTGTGCTTATGGAATTGAATTCAGATGAGGATGAGGGTGGTTTTGCAGAATGGGGGTGGAATAATAGGAACGTTGTGATTTTTTCTTTTAACATCTTTCCAATTGAACTCTTGCTCTCTTTCTCCAGGGGGACTATAGTGTACCAGACGTGCCCAAGTCCATGGCATGGTGTGAAAATTCCATCTGTGTGGGCTTCAAAAGAGACTACTACCTCATAAGGGTAAAATTATTATTTTGCAAATATCATCAGTTTGCTTTGGGGAAGATGATTCTATGCTTCTGACGTATAAGTCAAGAGACTGCCTTAAGTAGAGTTTTTGGCATACAAGGGTTCGTGCTTGTATGTTTGGTTATTTTTCATGCTCTCAGCATCTTTCACAAATATGATATCTGTGTATCTTAAGCTAGGCAGAGTCAGCTCTCAGTTCTGACATAATGAATTATCCAGATCCTGAGTCTAATTATTGGAACAGATCATTAGGGCTGCTTATCTGCCACCACGTTATCATAGACTGCTATTTTAGTATTAAGTATTTTTAAGACTTTGCGATATCTGCCTCTTTTTTAGTATATTTGTTTTAAAAACTGTTTCCATTGCTTTTTTTCTAAACTTCAAAAACCATACATATTTATTATAGAAAATAAGAAAATATAGATAAAAGGCAAATCATCCATAATCCCCCCCCCCCCTCAGAAATAATCACTGCTGACCTTTTGGTATAGGACTTCTATTTATAAAAATACTATGTTATACACGTATATGTATTATATTATACTGTATATATTATGTAATATACAGTATAACCTGCTTTTTCTTTTCACCTAAGCAGTAAATATCCAGGACACTAGTCTTTTTTCCTCCACTCTGCAAACTGTATGTACACACAATAGGAAAAGATTGATGGCCATTTGTTTCATAATCTAAATTTCTTAGCTTCATACCCTTCTCATAATCCAGACTTGGCAGTTCTAGAAGCCATTCTCCCCCTTTCCCCACTGCCCTACCCTCACTGTGTTAGCTCATCATTGTTTAGTTACTGTATTTATCCCATATTTACATTGTTTTATATTTACATTGATATTTACATATCCTACCTTTTATCAATATCAGAGTTGCAAGTTTATAAAGGAGTTACTGGTGTACAGTTGACTGAATAGCGAGCTTGCATCTAGGCATATAGTGGCTAAGAGAAGCCTGGGGGATGGGAGACAGCCAGAAGTTGGAGTATTTTTATTACCTAACAACATTGGATGCTTCCATCTCCCACTTAAGGCTAGAATCATTTGAGCATGAAAAATCTTGCTATGGGACCAGGATATTTAAAAGTTACTCATTTATTTACATATAGTAAAATTCATCCTTTATTTTTTTTTTTTAACATATTTTATTGATTTTGTACAGAGAGGAAGGGAGAGAGAGAGAAAGTTAGAAACATCGATGAGAGAGAGTCATCAACCAGCTGCCTCTTGCACACCCCCTACTGGGGACATGCCCGCAACCAAGGTACATGCCCTTGACCGGAATTGAACCAAGGACCTTTCAGTCCCCAAGCCGACGCTTTATCCATTGAGCCAAACCAGTTTTGGCAAAATTCATCCTTTTTGATGTGTGGTTCTGAGTTTTGACAAATTGCTCAGAGTTCTCTAACCACCACCACAATCAAGATTTAGAACAGTTCCATCACTCCTGAAATTCCCTTCTGCTGCCTCTTGAGGTCAGCCCTCCTTCTACACTCAGCCTCAGTAATCTGTTCTTGCTTCTGCCAGATGTCAAATAAACAAGCATCAGAATCATATATATATGATTAGTGTATTATAATGCATTTGGCATTCACCTGTGTTGGTCAATATATTCTTTTTATGGCTGAGTAGTATTCTATGGTACGAATGTATTACAGTTTGTTTATTCATTCACCAGTTGAAAGGCAAAGTTGTTTCCAATTTTCAGCCATTCTGATAAAGCTGCTATAAACATTTGCATATAGGTTTTTATGTAATAAAAAATAAGTTTCATTTCTCTTGGGCAAGTGCATAGTAATAGAATTGCTAGGTTACATCATAAGTGTATATGTAACTTTAAAAGAAACTAACGGGACTGCGGTACCATTTTGCATTCTCACCAGCAGAGTCTGAGCGTACCAGTTGCTCTTCATCCTGGCCAGCACTAGACCTTGTTATTTGCCGGGCTAGATGCTGGTCTCTGTGTTAGAGAAGAGAACTGGTTCTACATAGTGATGACAACATTTTTCTAACAAATTCTATTGGTTATCTATTTCCTTGTGCCAAACAAGGACTGTTTTTGACTTCTCTAGGTTTGGGGTTTTATCTTGATTTTTTTTTTCCAGGCCGTGTTCATGCCTCGGGTCAGAGAATGCTGGTGACTAACTCTCTATTTCCCGCAGGTGGATGGAAAGGGGTCTATCAAAGAGCTCTTCCCAACAGGAAAACAGCTGGAGCCCTTGGTGGCCCCTCTGGCAGATAGGAAAGTAGCCGTGGGTCAGGATGACCTCACCGTGGTGCTCAACGAGGAGGGGATCTGCACGCAGAAATGCGCCCTGAACTGGACGGACATACCAGTGGCCATGGGTGAGACCAACGGTAGCTGCTGTTGCCCACCTTGGGCTAGGGCTGTGTGCCATCTTCGGAGAATGGAAGAATAGCTTTAGCAGACTGTGGTTAACAGTGTCATCCACTCTCAGTTCCCCTCTTATAACGAGGCACCTGTGGTGGGTTTTTGAAAATGGGGTGTTCTGGTTTTTGTAGAAAGCTGATGTTTGTGCCAGAGGCAGGGGAAATCTAAATGGAACTGCACATTTTATAAGTAATTGTCTGCTGCTATCTTTACCTCTCAGTTTATTTTTAATATATAGGAGGTTTGTTGTGCCCTCTGCCAGATGTCAAATGTGGAAATTCTTTATTTATTTCTGTAATACATATAACTCGGTTTACATGGTGGTTATTGTGCTGTTTTGTAGCTTAGAGGTGCAGACTGCGTTTAGGTGTCGGTCTCTGTCCTTCGTTTCTGTCCCACACCCGCCTCGGGCTCCCAGCTCTCTGTGAAGGTGTTGCCAGTTGAAAGAATGAACATCTTAGTAATAGTCACTGCTATGGAGTGGGGCATGCAGACTTTAAGGACTTTAGCTCTGGACACAAAAATTAAATTTTGTAAAAAGTGACAAAACTGCTTAAGGCACTGCCTCAGGTGTTAAGTTGGCTGAGCTGAGATTCAGTAGTTCAGAAAGGGGAAGTTCATTGTTCAATAGTCAGGAGGCAGTTTCATTACATCCACAAGATTGCACTAAACCAGCAGAGAATTTAGGATCTGGCTTAAAGAAAAATTCCCTTTAACTCCACGTAGAAAAAATAGTTTGAAAAGCGAGTAAAATGTAGAAAACATGCTCATCTGTGAGAAGGCATGCCAGAGACTGAGCTGGCTAGAACACGTGGTCTGAATTACGGAAGAAGATTAGGGCCAGTTTTTGAGGCCCATGCCCAAGGTTGAAGAGGCCAGTAGACTCCGCAGGGGTAGAACGTCTTATTAATGTCATGGGTGGTTTTTCTGATGGTGGTTAAGACACTGATACACCAGAAGGAAGAGAAATCAAAAGGATAGTATTTGATAAGGCCCAGGATTATGCGTATCAGTGAGTTTGGGGGGCTGAGAGCTTCCCAAGAAGCTTCCTGAGGTCCTAGGGGCCCTTGCTCAGAAGAACGCTGTTCGATGAGATGAAGATGTGTAATTTGCGTGAAGCTTGCTTCTGACTCTCCAGTGTGAGAGCTCCGGTTTTAAAACCTTTGTCAGTGCCCTGTGCCTTCACATTTTGAAGCAGAGGGCATTCTTTCTGGGTTGGGTGGGCCTCACCTCCGACAGGACGAAGACTGAGTTCAGAACGGCATGCATTTTTAAACCGCACTTTTTTTCTGCTCTCACCTTGACTGCTTCACACAGGCTCCAGTCATTTTTGTTTGTTCGTTTGATTTTTGTTTTTTAATCCTCACCTAAGGATTTTTTTATATTGGTTTTTAGAGAGAGTGGAAGGGAGCGGGAGAGACAGAGGGAGAGAAACATCGAAGTGAGACTCCGACTTATGCCCCAATTAGATCAAGCCTGCAACCTAGGTATGTGCCCTTAACTGAAATCGAACCCGGGACCCTTTAGTCCTTCAGTCCTCATGCCACTACTCTATTCACTGAGCCAAACTGGCCAGGGCAGGGTCCAGTCATTTTGGATTCCCCCTCCTTTACCCCCTCTCCACTGCCATTGTCTGCACTGTTTTCCTTTCTTCTCACCCAGCAGCATCCTGCTCATATGACAAGGCCCCGTGCTGCGGCACTTCCTCTATGGAGGCTCCTCTGACCCGCAGGCAGAGTCAGCCACTTCCTCCTTGCTGCTTCCAGAGCCTTCCAGGTTTCTCTGCGCGGCACCCACGTGGTCCCGCTGGGTGCAGGGAGTTGTCGCCTCTGCTCCTGGAGTCGTCTGCGAGCTCTGGGCTCCGTCTCCATCCGCTCTGGGGAGTGTCTGAAACACGGCCTTTAGTGAATGCTGAGGGATAGATGCGTCGTGTCATTGTCAGCAGTTATTCTGTCTGCTGCACACCAGCCACTGTGCTAGGTTTTGAAGATACAAAGAGATCCAGACCATTTTTATTGTGTTTGATAAACACTACTGAAGAGTTGGGGAGACTGAACAAATGCAATATCACAACCAACAGGGTTCCTAGTATAGATTCCCTTTGACAAATTATTAGACCTGCCACAGTGGTTTTGCTCATCGGCATGTGGACTGGAGGGTTCTGGGTTAAATTTTAATCAAGGGCACATGCCCAGATTGCAGGCTCAATCCCCAGTAGGGGGAGTGCAGGAGGCAGCCAACCAATGATCTTTCTCATCATTGCTGTTTCCCTTTCCCTTCCTCTCTGAAATCGATAAATATATATTAAAAATAATAATTAGACCTTATTAAGATTAAAAAAGAGAAATTTTAGATATTTAAGCAAATTAACACTGAGGAAAATTATACTAGCTTTAAAAAAATGAGACTAATATTGAAAGAAAATTTAAAAATCAAGTGCAAAACAATGTTTTTTAATTGTGTTTTCTGGTAAGATGAAAAATAGCAGCATAGTAACTAACATTTAAAGTGATGAAAATATTACTTATGCTTCAGTTTCTTCATTTCTGAATTCCCTTCTGGCTTTAAAACTTTATTATACTATTCATTTAGAGCACATGTGTCAAACACAAGGCCCGCGGGCCAAATCCGTCCCGCCAGGCCTTGCAATGGGGCCCGCACCGCGCTGTCATCACTGCACTCCGCTGCGTTTCCATCACAATGACAGTTTATGACTGTTCAGTAAACCATTCGGCCCGCGATTTAGGCTGGATTTTAGATTTTGGCCCCTTCTCTGATTGAGTTCGACACCCCTAATTTAGAGTATATATTACAAATATAAAATCAAAAAGTTTTTTTTATCAGAAAATAGATGAGAAAAATTAAATCATAGCAAGTTAGCCACACTAAGAAACTATTCTTGTGAATATATTCTTTGAGGTTAAATTTCTGTATGACAATTATATCATCTAGTGGTTCATTTTTTATAATTAAAAAAATTTTATTTTTAATTGTAGTAAAAAAACAACATAAAATCTACCTTCTAAACCATTTAAGTGTACAGTTCAGTAGTGTTACATATCACGCAACAGATTTCAGAACTTTTTCATCTCCCAAACCTAAAACTTTATATCAATTAAGCAACACATTTCTCCCTTCCCCTAGCCCTTGGCAATAATCATTCTTTCTTTTGCTATGAATTTGACATTCTAGATACCTCATATAAGTGGTAGAAAACAGCTCACTGAGAACACAATTCAGCTGCCTTCTCTGTGAGCCATTATATGTTAAGTGGAGCCCTGGCTAGTGTGCCTTAGTTGGTTAGGCATCATCCCATTCACCAACCTGGTTGCCGGTTCCATTCCCTGTCAGGGCACAGGCCCAGGTTGTGGGCTTGATAACTAGGTGATGTGCTGGAGGCAACTGATCAATGTTTTTCACATTGATATCTCTCTTTCTCTCTTCCCCTCTCTCTCTCTCTCTCTCTCTCTCTCTCTCTCTCTCTCTCTCTCTCTCTCCCCCCCCCCATATATATATCCCCTCTCTCCCTTCTTCCCTCCCTCCCTTGCTCTCTCTCTCTCTCTCTAAAAATCAATAAAATTATATTTAAAAACAAAAATGTCAAGTGGAGTTTTGCATCTCTTCCCTGTGAAAATCTCAAACAGAAACAACAATGGCTGGAAATATGGGACTCATTTTTTTTTAGCATAATTTTAGGGTAAATAAGTTGCACTCCTCTTGCCTCACTTTGTGACCGATGAGAAAGGAATAAGTGAAGCTGCCACCCAGTTCTTTGGGAGAAATGATAGGCGTAGGATCAGGTCACTCTTAGCAGAGCTGAGTGCATCCTTTTTGTGTAAGAGATTTCTCTTAGCATCACTCAGGCAAACAACCTTTTGTCCTTATATATCGCAATAGAGGCCCAGTGCACATTCATGCAGTGGTGGGATCCCTCAGCCTGGCCTGCGGGAATCAGGCCAAAAGTGGCTCTCTGACATCCCCCGAGGGGTCCCAGGTTGTGAGAGGGCAGTTCTCGGGTGATGCACCCCAGAATCGGGCTCCCTCCTCTCTGGATCTGGGGTGCGGGTGAAGCAGATTTGGGGCTGACAGTGCCCCAGCAGCAACCTAACCAATTCCATGAGGAATTGGGCTCCCTCCTCTACTGGTTGGAGTGTCTGGCCTCTGGTGGTCATTGTGTATCATAGCTACCAGGTGAGCAGTCAAACCATCGAACTTAGGCTCTTATATATATAGATGATAGGATCCTGGCTTGGTTTTTGATCTGTGGGCTTTTTGGAGATCACGTTTAAATGCAACTTAGAAATGGGCAACTGACAGTTCATAGACCTAAAGCCTTAGGTCAGAACTGCAACTCAAGGTGTTCTCCTTTGCACAGAGCACCAGCCTCCCTACATCATTGCAGTGTTGCCTCGCTATGTGGAGATCCGAACACTTGAACCACGGCTCCTGGTCCAGAGCATTGAATTGCAAAGACCTCGTTTCATCACTTCAGGAGGGTAAGGAGATTCTTTGCTGTAATTGCTGTATCATTATCATTACAAAGCTTTAAAGTCATCAGAAAGCCGGTGTCATTTCGCTGACACTTTTTTTGCTCCTGCCTCCAGATCAAACATTATCTATGTGGCCAGCAATCATTTTGTTTGGAGACTTATTCCTGTTCCCATGGCAACTCAGATCCAACAGCTGCTCCAGGACAAACAGTTTGAATTGGCTTTGCAGCTTGCAGTAAGTCTTGTTTCTAAGATTTGGGTGTGAGTCTGCCTTTCTCGTTGTTCTCCAAAGTAGGTGATTGGGTTTAGTTTTTCATATTTGGTTTCGAACAGTGGAAACTCACAGGGCTGAAAGTCTGAGGCCCTGGATGCAGGATCTGACTCTGCCACAAAGTATCTGTGTAACTTGAAGTGATTTCACTTTTTCAGTTTGCAAATGTAGAATTAATGTCAATTATATTATTTCATAGAATTAATAGAATAAAATAATTTAGTAGATAATGATCTGCTCCTGAAAAATTAAAGACAATGCAAATGTTGGAGTAAAGTAATAATTGTAAATGTGAGGTTATAGTCTGGTTGCCTGCCAGTGTGGCTCAGTTGGTTAAGTGTCTTGTGCACTAGGAGATGGAGAGCTGGATTCCCAGTCAGGGCAGATTCCTGGTTTGCTATTCAGTCCCTGGTCAGGGCACATACGGAAGGCAACTGTTGTATCTTTCTCACATCCATGTTTCTCTCTCTCTCTCTCTCTCCCTCTCTCCCTCTCTCTCTTTCTCTCTCTCTCTCTCTCTCTCTCTCTCTCTCTCTCTCTCTCTCTCTCACACACACACACACACACACACACACACACACACACACACAAAATTAAAAAAATAAAGATTCTGGTGTGGTTGAATGCAACCACTAGAGGGCCTCAGCATCTCTTTCAGCAGTGGACTGTTATGTTTGGACAAGAAGGCCCTTAGGTATTCTTCTCTCATCTTAAGTTGCTGCATTCAGCAGGCTGCATCTTTTTTATGACTGTCATTGTCCTTGAATGTTTACATGGGGTGATATTCTCGGCTCTGGGTCCAGCAATGCTCCCAGGGCCAACAGACATCTTGGACACTGGCTTCTGAGGCTTGTCTTATTCTTTTAAACTTCCCCAGTGGGTATTAGTCATCTGTAGATGATGGGTTTGATTTTAGAAAACAACCAAAAGTCATTCTGAACCTTTCCTAGTCATTAAACTAGACAGTGTAATTTGGTAATACCCTGTTTCCCCGAAAATAAGGCAGAGTCTTATATTAATTTTTTTAATATATTTTTTATTGATTTTGTACAGAGAGGAAGGGAGAGATAGAGAGTTAGAAACATCGATGAGAGTCATCGATCAGCTGCCTCTTGCACACCCCCCACTGGGGATATGCCCGCAACCAAGGTACATGCCCTTGACCGGAATCGAACCCGGGACCCTTCAGTCCCCAAGCCGATGCTCTATCCATTGAGCCAAACCGGTCCCGGCTATATTAATTTTTGCTCCCAAAGATGCACTAGGTCTTATTTTCAGGGGATGTCTTATTTTTTCATGAAGAAGAATACAGTACACATTTATTGGTTTTTGGGTTTTTTTTTTTTGTTTTGTTTTTTTTAATATGTTTTATTGATTTTTCTTAAAGGAAGGGAAAGAGATAGAGAGCTAGAAATGTCAATGAGAGAGAAACATCGACCAGCTGCCTTTTACACACCCCCTACTGGGGATGTGCCTGCAACCAATGTTCATGCCCTTGACCGGAATCGAACCTGGGACCTTTCAGTCCGCAGACTGACGTTCTACCGCTGAGCCAAACCGGTTTCGGCCACATTTATTGTTAAATGAATATAAAGGAAATTTATTACCTGTATATGATATGGTAATATGGTAGTTGTCAACACAAACCAGACAAACTGTGAATCCTACAGTATCAAGAATTTACTCATTTATTCAGTGACAATCATGTCATCATCTTCTGGAACATCATCATAACAATCCAATTCCTGAATTTCCTGGTGAATTTCTTGTGACTCCATTTCTTTCAGAATCAGTGGACCAAATCTCTCATGTTTAGCCTTGGGGGGCCTTATTTTTTGGGGGATGCCTTATATTTCACTCAGAAGGAAACCTGTAAGTAGGTCTTATTTTCGGAAGATGTCTTATTTTCGGGGAAACACGGTAGAAAAGTGTATACGAAGACAGTAGTAGGAAAACCTAATTTCTAGAATATCTTGTAATTTATTTCTAAAAGGAAAGCCATTGTCACAAATTTTGGTATATATGCCTACATCACATATGGTGGATATTCTTGAAGAACATTTATTTTGGATGTATGAATTTTGTTTTTGTTTTTTGTTTTTTTTGTTTGTTTTAAAATATATTTTATTGATTTTTCACAGAGAGGAAGAGAGAGGGACAGAGAGTCAGAAACATCGAAGAGAGAGAATCATCGATCAGCTGACTCTTGCACACCCCCCACTAGGGATGTGCCCACAACCAGGGTACATGCCCCTGACCAGAATTGAACCTGGGACCTTTCAGTCCGCAGGCCGACGCTCTATCTACTGAGCCAAACTGGTTTCGGCGGATGTATGAATTTTGGATTTAAAACTAAAGTCCAGTCTTAATAGTTGAACATGTTTAATATCCCATAAAAATTATTTATTTCTTGGGACATTTAATGTCAGCATCTTACTATTCTGTTATTTTTCACTCATGCATTGTTCCATATTATTTTATTTCTATTTTAAATTAAAGAATACCTACCACCTTACTCAAGAAAAAGAACTGATAATCTTGTATGTTCTTCCCCAACCCATCCCTCTGCCTCCCCTCCAGACACAGCTATTATCCAAAATTATGTGTTTATCATGCCCTTTAAAGTTTTTTAGGTATGTTAGAATATGTATTTAGTTTTAAACTTAATTTAAAAAACAGTATGATACAATACATAGCTTTTTGAGTACCTATATTTTTCTTAACACGAAGGTTTCAGATCTTTTCAGTGATCTTCCTGATGCAGGTTTTCTGTTTAATCTTCGATAGGGAAGATGGCTTCCACTTTTCCTTCTTTTTTCTAGGCTTGCAATTTCTAGGTGTTCTGCCCTATGATGAAGGGAGGTTGGTCTATAACATCTTAATTCTTGAGGAATCTGTCTTTTATTTAAATAAAGACCATATGTGTCCCTTTCAGAGGGCAATAATATACTAAACGTCAGTGCTGACAAGATGTGAGAGAAGGACAGTTCCCTGAGGCTAGAGAAGGCATCCTCAGATTGTACCCATTAGCGTTAGGTATGATCAGGAGCAGGAACCAGGGGAGCATTGAGGAGCCCAAGGAAGTTAAAGAAGTGGTAGCAAGTATTTCTAAGAGGTGGGCATGGAGTGGAGGCTGTGGCTTGACTGTCTGGAAAGAAGCTGGATAAGAAAGTTGCACAAGGCTTTAAAAACCTTTAGAGCTTCAAGTGGGAGGGCTTTAGGCGAGGTGCTGCCTCATGCTGATGGTGGTCTGGACTAGGGCAGTGGCAGAAGAGGAGAGGAAAGGAAGAGAGAAAAACGTAAGGCATTTTGAAGGAAGAATTTAAATTTAGTACAGATTGTTTAAAAGGAAGACAGCAGGGGGAAGGGGTTGTAAGTAAGGTACAGAGATAATATTAATAAAAGCTGTGCCTGCTGTGTTAAGTATCTTTATTCCTGAGCACACTGTGTTCTCTCCCTGGTATTTTAGGGCCTTGACGTCTGCTGTTTTCTGCTCGGAGGAACAGTCTCCATCTCCCCTCCCATCTGCCAGCTGCCTTTACTCCAGCTCATTTTTTATACCCTAGTTTACTTTCTCCCGAGAATCTTCCCAGAGCCACTGCTCAGGCTGTTGCTTACCCCTCTTAGGTGCTTCTGTCATCTCTTACTGTGTTTTGTTAGGGTTTTGATTATTTTTGTTTTTAAACTAAATTCTAGACTTTATTCATATTTTTCCAATTTTTCCATTAATGTCCCTTACTTCTGCTCTAGGTTTAAATTCAGACATCACATTGCATTTGGCCATTTGTCCCCAGTGTCCTCTGATCTGTGACAGCTTCTTAGTCGTTCCTTGCATTTTATGACCTTGGTCGTTTTCAGGAATACTAGTCAGGTATATTTTGTAGAAACCGCGTTGTATTTTAATTGCACACTTGCTTATCAGTCTTATGATTAGACTGTGAGGGCAGTCTTTGAGAGCAGATACCATGTGACTGTCTGTACATGTTGAATTTGTACCTCCTGGGTGTTGTTTAATACCTGGTGTGTACTGAATAAATATTTGTAGAGTGAGTGAGCTCTCACCTATTCTGCTCTCTTATTAGGAAATGAAAGATGACTCTGACAGTGAGAAGCAACAGCAGATCCATCACATCAAAAACTTGTATGCCTTCAACCTCTTCTGCCAGAAGCGTTTTGATGAGTCCATGCAGGTCTTTGCTAAGCTCGGCACAGGTAACAAGTGGGTGCAGCCCTGGGATCGGGAAGTCATGGCGGAAGGGAAACTGGACAGGCTGAGGAGACATGACACCAGATATCTGAGAAAGGGGAGAGTTTACACTCACCCAAACTGATCCTCATACCTGACAGGATCCTGCAGGTGACATATTTATAGTCCTAATCTTAGGACTCTGGTCTCACCTGTAAATACGGACAGACTTCCAGTTTTCCAAGATGAGTTGCCCTAACCGTTAGAGAAAGGTAACAGAATGTCATTCGTTTGTGTATCCTATAATCGAGTGTTCGTTGAATACTGTTCTGGACGAAAGTCCCTGACTAGAGCTAAGAATCAAACAGGTCGTTTTTGAGAGGCAGCACAGGGCAGGGTTGCGAAGCCCTTCCTTTTCTCAGAGTCTTAAAAACCCTGAGCATCACGGTGACGAGCAGGCACTTTGGTGTCAGACGGCCTAACCTCCAGCAAAATTCCTGACCTCTCTGCCTCCAGTTCTTTTCTCTGCAAAACAGGGCAGATAATAATACCTCATATGAGATTATGTAAAATGCTTAGAACAGTGTGTGATACTTAGTAAGTGCCAATTAAGTGTTTGCTATTATTACTGATTTTTTTATTTCTATACTATTTTTTTGCTTACTTAGGATCAATTTATATGGTTAGACTTTATATAATATTATTTATGCCCTCTTTTCTCCTCTTATTGCTGTCTTTTTCCCACCTTCCCTCATTGTTGGCCAATGATGAGCTGAGGTAACTCCTGAATCAGCTAAGGTTCGTGGTTGTGAGCAATGGAGACCAGTGCTGGGTAATTTAAGTGGTATCTGAATAAATTAAGCATGGTTAGTGGAACATAATGGGAATGGCAGTAGAGGAGCCCACAAAATTAATGGGCACCAGGCTCGGGAATGATAGGAACCAAAGGAACTTCAGAGGACCTCTTAGCAGGAAGCAGGAAGCCAAAGAGTAACCCCTTTGTGGCATGGGCAGACTGGGAGACTCCTTTCTGAGCACAGCCACTTCCTTAGCTGTTGCTGCCACCACCTTCCCTATTGTTGCTTCCTCAATACAAGTTGCCCCCTGCAAGCTTATGTTACTATCTAAAGCCATGTTACAAACCACCCCAAAACTTAGTGGCTTAAAATAACAAACCATCTGTTACCTCTCTGTATCTGTTGGTTAGGAGTTTGGGAAGACTCAGATGGGGAGTTCTTGCTTGGGGCCTCTCATGCATTTGTAGTTGTGTGTAAGCAGAGTTACTGTCATCTGAAGTCTTAACAGGGCTGAAGGGTCTACTTTTAAGGTGACTCCCTCTCATAGCTGACACGTTAGTGCTGGCCAGCGGCTGGGGCCCTGGTTCTTATCCACGTGGGTCTTTCTACAAAGATGCTTGAGTGTCTTCGTGCAGAGAGAATAGGTTTCCCAATGGAAGCCTCATTGCCTTTTATGACTCTTCTACCATATTCTGTTGATATACAAGGGTCCATCAGGTTTAAGGCAAGGGAACACAGACAAACCTCTTGATGGGTGAGTGTCCACATTCTATACAAGGAGCAGGTAGGATGCAGTATACTTTGGTGTGTGCTGCACTGCTTGTCATTCTTGAGTCACTTTCTCAAGATCAGGGGGCTCTGATTATGTTGTAGTCTCACTCCCTCTCACTGCCAGAGGTGGGGAAAGAGTTTGTGGCCCCTCTCTGCTTCTGAAGACAAAGGTAGGTGCCCAGAACTATTGTTACCAAGATTACACCTGGCGTAGAAGAGGGAGTTGCCAAAAGGAAATAAGTTGCTGTTAAGAAGGGATATGGAAGCTGGGCAACCAAAAATCCATATATATTTACTGTCCTTCCTTTGAATGAACTCATTTGGGGCATTTATCCACCAGCTCTTTGAAAAGACACTGGAATAATTCAGAATTTTTGTAGTAATTTGATTCTTTTTCCGTATACCAATGCTGCTTGAACCCCACTCCAAAGGTTTAAATTCATTCCTAATAAAGCTACTACCTTTGAATTTATTCATTCCACAAATATGTACTGAGCTCCTGGTGAGTTCAGTGCACTCTGCTGCGCCCAAGAAGAACTAATCAGATGGAATTCTGCTTTCAAAGACCAATCTAGTAGGAAAGATAAGGCACAGTGGATCCTTTCCAGTGGCAGGAGGACATGCTGGTGGCAGTGCTGTGTAGGGGCAGTTGGCTATTGACTGGACCTCTCGGCAGGTCTTCCGTTGACTAATCTTGGTCTAAGGTCTGGTCCTCCTGTCCAGTAGTGAATATTCCTAGCATTTGCAGAGATCATTTGTCTCTTCCTCATCCAAGCTTCTTTACAGGTGTATGTTCCAGCATAGTTATATTGTACTTTCATTACTTAAAAATCATTGTTTTTCCATGTTGCTAGGTGCCTTTTAGAATTTATAATGTCTGCATAATACTCTACCATTTGAATGAAAAATACTTAATTTTGCTGTTGAAGGAATTCTTCATTGTTTCCAAAATTGCATTGTTACAAGTTTTGCTACCTGTCCATACAAATGTTGCTCCCCCTACTCCCCCCCCCCACCCCCCCCCATCTTTTTCCTTTTTTTTTTTTTTTTTAGGATTAACTCCTAGAAATAGGACTGGAGGTGTGAATGCTTTTATCCTTTTTGAGGTAGAAATATTTTTTGCCTTAGCAGTGTAAGGGTGATTATTTCACAATGTTTTAAGCACAAAGTAGTATTATATAAAAATACTCTTATTGCCTTAGCTGGTTTGGCTCAGTGGATAGAGCGCTCTCGCTCTCTCTCTCTCTCTCTCTCTCTCTCTCTCTCTCTTTCTCTCTCTTTCTCTCTCTCTCTCTCCCCCTTCCTCTCTGAAATCAATAAAAATATATTTAAAAATAAAAATACTCTTATTACTAATTAAATGGATATGAAAATGCCACTTGATGTTTGTTATTGTTTTATGGTATTTTATATTTATTGGTTTCAGCTTTATGGAAGTGTAATTGACAAATAAAAATCATAATATATTTAAAGATAAAATATAAATGTTATATTTAAAAATTTGCACAACCAAGTTAATTAACAAATCCATATGCTGGGGTTCTTGCCCCAGCATTACAAAGGGTTCAGCAATTTGGAGAAAGGGGCTGATGCGTAGATTCAAGGAGTCCAAGGACGAAAGATAGTTTTGAAAGGCATTGGGGGTCAGAGGATCTTCAGCTAACGGAACTAAAACACTTCCCCTTGTCTAAGAACCCCGTGCTATTTATTAACAGTTTGTCCCAAGGCAAGATGGAGACATACATTTCAAAGGGTAGGGTTTACAGAAGCTTTGTCAGTTTGGGGGAATAGCCTAAAGCTGTTCAGGTGTTTGGCCAACAGGAGGCAATAACATGCAGATTAAGATACCCCGAGCTGTCTGGCAGCAAATAATCATCCTATTCAGGTTTGGGGAGGTGCTGTTTAGCCATTCCAACAGGTAAACTACATATGTGGCTCAGCCCTTGTTGAGCCCCCAAGCTTCACCAACCTTTTGATGTAATTATGACATGCTGGAATTGGTTCCTGGCATCCATCAGCTCTCAAAATTAGCTTTTTAAAAAATTTTATGATACTGCTTAAATTTTAGTCTCTTAGGAAAGAAAAGTATCATATAATTTTACTTACATGTGGAATCTAAAGAACAAAAGTAAACAAACAATAGATATAGAGATTCATAGATACAGAGAACAGACTGATCAGGCTGCCAGAGGGAAGGGGAGTTAGGGAATGGAATGAGTAAGGTGAAGGGATTAAGAAGTACAAATTAGTAGTTACAGAATAGTCAACAATACTTGTAACAATTATGTATGATGACAGGTGGGGATCACTTCATAAATTATATAAATATGTACCTGAAAACAATATAAAATAATATTGAATTCACCTGACATTTTTAATGGTAAAAACTCTTTGATTGTTAATGTAGCTGAACATTTTCCCACTAATTTGTATTCTTCTTTTGTCAGTTATGTCTTTTGCCTTGTTATCAAATGAAATTTTACGTGTTTTTTGAACAAATTTGTTTTATGAAATCAACTTATTAGCCTTTTGCCATATAAGCTGCAAATTTATACTGTAGTCTGTTACCTGGTCTTTTTGTTTTAGTAATATTCCTTTTTGATTTTTTTTTTCTTTTCAGTTTTTTTATCTTTTCAACTTCACTGTCTTAGCAGTTTTTCCTTAGAAGTTTTTTTTCCCTTTGCTTTTAAGAGTTAATAAATTCTCATTTCTAATTCTGTGTGTGTGTGTGTGTGTGTGTGTGTGTGTGTGTTGGAATATAATCATGCCATTTTTGTAAAGTGACATGTGTATAAATAGTGCTCAAGTTATAAGTGTATAACTCACTTGAACTTAGTCTTTATGAACTTAGTTATTTTTTTTTTTTTAAGTCAGGAACTTGTTTTATTTTTATCCTTAAATTGCTGTGCTTCTTTCTTTCTGGGGGCTCATGTTTACCTTCCATTCCAGATCCTACCCATGTGATGGGCCTGTACCCAGACCTGCTGCCCACCGACTACAGGAAGCAGCTGCAGTATCCTAACCCCCTACCTGTGCTCTCCGGGGCTGAGTTGGAGAAGGGTCACTTAGCTCTGATCGACTACCTGACACAGGTAGATGTAAGAGAGAGGTGCATGGAGGAGTTTATTACAACTGCTTCTTTATGGCAGGGCTTTTTGTAATACCACAAACATTCCATAAATGAACACTGGAAGTCTGGGCCAGCACAGTGTCTTTTTGCTTCTTCTCCCTGCTTCCCAGTGCCACTGAGCTGCTTTTTGCCAAATCCTGACCCTACGAAACACACTCGATTCCTAGTAAATTCACAACTAACTAAGTTGTTCAGGGATTAAAAAGAGTACATTTTAGTTAACAGAAAATAGTAAATTTTTTAAAACAAACATTTTTTTAGCATACACAATTTTAGAAAAAATACTGCGTTAAGCAGAAAACTTGGAAAACACAGTAAAAATACAGATCACCTGTAACTCTACCTAGAACCAGAGAAAAGTAACTACATTTTGGTGTTGTCCTTCCAGATTTTTATATGTATTTGTGAATTAGGTTTTATTTATTTATTGGTATATTTATTACAAAGGAATATCAAACTGTATAACTTACTTTTTAAAAATTTAGTTATAGGTTGAGAAAATTTTTCTTTGTTAATAATTTTCTAAAATGCTTTTTTAGGTGAGTTATTTTTAGATTAAAAAATTTACTTTGTTGTTATGGACAAGACAGAAAAGAAACATTTTAAAGACAACACTAAAACTTAACATCTTCACTGAAGTTTCTTAAAACCAAAGTTCTTTCACAGAAGGCTGTGCACCCACTCAGAGTCAGAGAACTTAGTATATTTTTCCCTCTTAAGTGTTCTGCAGGCCTTTGTAAGGGCCCCTTGGGTAGGCACTGAGAAGTATCGCTAGGAAAATTGTAAGCCAGCTTCCCGTCTACTTCTGTGTCAGTAGGTGTCGCTCAGGACTGCTCAGGCATGCAGGGCCTTGGCACTTCCTTGACATTGGGTCCCAGCAGTACTCAGCAGGGCTGGCGGCATGCAAGGAGCACACGGACTTGCCTGTCTGCTCATTGCGTGGCCCATGGACCCAGACAGACAGGCTCCCGGAGCAGCACGCCTCCTGAGCCTGTGCTTCACAGAGGCCGTCAGTCCTGGCAGCGTTAGCACTCCAGGCACACAGCTCTCCCTGGCCTTCTCCACTGATGTTAGGAATGTGTGAAGGTAGCTGACACTAGGGTTATGCCAGAGAGATGGTAGAGCATATAAGACAATGGGCATTGCCAACACAATACAAACTGGGTGATTCCATTAAAGTTCTGGTGGTGGTAAAAACTTATGTGTAGTGATAGAGATTGACCATTGGGCAGAGGGTGGGTGGGAAAGAAAACTTTTTGGAGTGATAGAAATCTGTTCCTTGATTGGGGTGGTGGTTACATGCATGTATATATCTGCCAAAATGCACCTAATAGTGCACTTAGAAGGGGTACGTTTTACTACATGTAACTTGTACCTTGATAACATTGACTTATTAAAAGAACATGGGCTTTGGGATCAGACCCTAATTTGAAACTTACCTCTGCCATGTCTGAGGTATCTAACATCTGTACTGTGGGTTCTTCATTCATAAAATGGGGATAATAATACCTGCATTTCTTTTAGCTTTAAAATAGAATAATATATGAAGTGCTTGACAGTACTGGTGTGCAATAAATACTCAATAAATAATTATTATCTGTGGCAGTAAAACTCAATCATCTGAGGTTTTTTGTTTGTGAATCCTTACCTGAGCATATTTTTTCCATTGATATTTTTAGAGAGAGTAGGAAGGAGAAGAGGGGAAGAGAAAGAGAGAGCGAAACATTGATGTGAGAGAGACACATCAGTTGGTTGTCTCCTGCATGGGGCCCCGGCCATGACTGAGGCACGTGCCCTGGTCCAGGCATCGCACCTGGGCCGGGGGCTGGCGCCCTAGTCGCCGAGCCACTGGCCAGGGCTGGCAGTCATCTGTCTGCTTTGATCCCTGATAAAAATTTTCCATTATCACAGGGAGTCTCTTGAGAATTAAATGAGGAAAATCTGCGTTAAGGAAAATCTTAGCCTTGTTTGACACATTAAAAATGCTCTGTAGATTTCAACTATTTTAAAACAGTTTTTTTTTCCAAAGAAAAAGAAATTTAACATTGTTTCTTTTTTTTTCTTTTCTTTTTAATTAAATTATTATCTGTGTACATATTTTAACATCCCCCTCCCTCCCATACATACCCTTTCTCCCCAGAGAACATTGTTTCTATTACTCCTTGAACTTTAATTTTTATTCCACTGTCACCATAGAATTTGATCCTGATATATGCATTTGGTACTTGAAGATCTTTCATTGAGCCCTCTGTCATATCTCTATAACAGAAGTGTCATTTTAATTTTAAAAAAATGTATTATATTGATTTTTTTTTTTTTTTTTTTTTTACAGAGAGGAAGGGAGAGAAATAGAGAGCTAGAAACATCGATGAGAGAGAAGCATCGAGCAGCTGCCTCCTACACACCTCCTACTGGGGATGTGCCCGCAACCAGTGTACATGCCCTTGACCGGAATCGAACCTTGGACCTTTCAGTCCAAAGACTGACGCTCTATCCACTGAGCCAAACCGGTTTTGGCCTTATTTTAATTTTTAAAAATTTCCTGCAACCAAATAACTCTGTGTCTTTTAAAATGTCATCTGAGTTCATTTGTGTACTACTATTAATGTACAGTTGAGCAATACATCATAAAATATTTGAGTTTCCAAGAACCATTAAATATTTAAACTTCCAAAATATTGCATGCCAATGTGAGATCAGGGTGTGGACAAGTATGAACTGATTTGGAGGTATTTGAAATTACCCAGTAGATCAAGTGATAAAGGAAGATTAGTCCTGGCCTTGATCCCACATTTTTGGCCTTTGCAGAAACGGAGCCAGTTGGTAAAGAAGCTGAATGACTCTGATCACCAGTCTAGCACTTCCCCGCTCATGGAGGGCACGCCCACCATCAAGTCCAAGAAGAAGCTGCTGCAGATCATCGACACCACCCTACTCAAGTGCTACCTCCATGTGAGTCCCTGGAGCAGGCGGGCACCCACAATCCCCAGCCTGCCGAGGCTGGAAAAGGGCCACCTGGGGGCACCTGCTGTTAGCAAGAACGAAGTGTTCGATGATGGGAACCACCTAGTCTTTGCCTTGATGCCTGTGAGCTTTTTGAAATTAAAGGTTTAAGTCAAGATATTGGCCATAGCGGGCTGGTCTTCTCTGGTAAGATTGGGATTAGTGGTGTGGTGTGAACAGTGTTCCCTCAAAGGAAATATCTCCTTCCTCCCTGCCCTCCCTCCCCCCAAACCGTTAAAACACGTGAGAGATTATAGTGCTATAAAAGCCACTCCCTGTAGTCCTGACAAAGGGTTGTTTGCTGTCTCTGCTTTTGTTAAATCCCTGGCCTTTCTGCCGGAAGCAGGCCTGGCTGGGGACGGGCGGGGTCTCCGGGAAGCACTTGCGCTGAAGTCCTGCCTCCTCTGCAGACGAACGTGGCCCTGGTGGCCCCCCTGCTGCGCCTGGAGAACAACCACTGCCACATCGAAGAGAGCGAGCACGTGCTGAAGAAGGCCCACAAGTACAGCGAGCTCATCATCCTGTATGAGAAGAAGGGGCTCCATGAGAAAGGTGGCCGAGGCCTGGGGGGCAGGCCGGTGGGATGAGTCTGTGGGATGAGCCGTGGAGGAGGCCCGTGACCTTGTTCTTGGGCTTCGTGGCCAGCCCTGCAGGTGCTGGTGGACCAGTCCAAGAAGGCAAACTCGCCGCTGAAAGGCCATGAGAGGACAGTGCAGTATCTGCAGCATCTGGGTACGTCCAGCTTCTGAAACGGGAGTCGGGAAGTGTGCAAACAGACCTGACCTCCCTCCATCTCTGAATCCAGCTGTGCAGTCCCCTCTCTCCTTGCTCCACCAGCTGCGGGGAAAGTCCCCTGTGGGGGACCCATGATAGCTGGGAATGTAGCCAGCCCCCAAGCAGCCCTGAGTGACTGGTGCTTGGACAGAACTCTCTGCTCCAGAAAATAATCCTGGGACAACCTGGGCACCTGCCTTCCTAGTCCTGCGAGCAGGGTAGGCTTTACCAGCTGACAAGTCGTACTTTTCCTCCAGGCACAGAAAACCTGCATTTGATTTTTTCCTACTCGGTGTGGGTGCTGAGAGACTTCCCAGAGGACGGCCTGAAGGTAGGTTTGAGGGTCTTTGGATTCATTTGGCACCACAGTCGGTCCTGATTCTGCTTGGAGATGGGTGGATGGAGGAGGAGGAAGGATTCCTGCAGTTTCTCTTATGTTCAGAAGAGCGGACTGGGAAACGTGAGGTGCCAGTGTAGGGTAGTGGGAACACCTTTGCACAGGCACCAGGAGACCTGCCAGGCTATCACACACTACCCGGCGACAGAGCCTTGCACATTCCCCTCCCCCACCCCCGAAGTCCGTCCTGTGAGCCCGCACGTTTGGCTGCATTGTGGTCAGCTGGTTCCGCTGCTGCAACTCGGGATTGTTTTAACAGATATTCACCGAAGACCTCCCGGAGGTGGAGTCTCTGCCCCGGGACCGAGTGCTCGGCTTCCTGGTAGAGAATTTCAAGGGCCTGGCTATTCCTTATCTGGTAAGATGTTGTTTGGTCTGAACTAGAAAGCTTTCAAACCCAGGAACTAGGCCTCCTGAGTCAGCTCTTAGATGATTCCGAGTGCAGTTTGTGTCACGTGGGGACTAATAGAAACGGACAGAAGAGGGTTATTTCAACATGCTCTACAGAGAGATTGCAGTGGCCGAAGATGGGAGGGTCACTTTTCATCCATACTTTCTAAACCTGGGTGAAGTATAGAAGAATAAAAGAGAAGCATCTTCGAGAAAAACATTCTAAAGCCACGTTTGCACAACCCAACTCACTGTGGCCACAGGACGATGAAATCAGTTTGAAGTACCAGGATGCAGATACTAAACCGTAATTCCATGGGCTGATGTGGAGGAATATGAGACAAAATTAATAAAGGAACTTTGATTGGAAATCAAGAAAAGAATTCCCAGTGTTGCTGGGTTGTATCGTGAAATTTCCCAGTGGTTTCAGAAGGGCTGTCCCTCGGGAGCCTTTGCAGCGTAAGCAGGAAGCAGTCTGGATGGGACTGATTGGCCTTAACGTGGGAGGGAGCCTGGGTGGCTGGGCGTCAGGGTGCGGAGGGTACAGGCAGGCCTGCGTCTCGCTTCAGGAGCACGTCATCCACGTTTGGGAGGAGACGGGCTCGCGGTTCCACAACTGCCTGATCCAGCTGTACTGCGAGAAGGTGCAGGGGCTGATGAAGGAGTATCTGCTGGCCTTCCCTGCAGGTACCGGTTCTCGGAGAGAGTCACGGGGCCACTGGCCTCGGGCAGCCGGGCCCGGGATGCTGTGTGTGACGGGGAAGCAGGCTTCCCCCCCCCCCGGTGGGCAGGAAGTTCCTCAGAGGAGCCAGGGCAGCCGAGAGACCCCGCATATGAGACTCTGCATTCTGGGGAGACTCTGGGCATCTCCCCGGGGGGAGGGGATGGAACAATCTGTCTTCAAGATAAGAAACAGGTTTGCCTACCAGAGTGTTTCCTAGGCAGTTGTGTGTTTGTGTGTGTGTGTGTGTGTGTTTCTACCTCAAGCTGATGTTTGGGGGGTCCATGTAGAGACCATAAACGAGAGACGCCAACTGGAAACCGCTCTGGAGGCCCTTTCTGATGCTTGAGGGCCCAGCCCCTCGTTTTTCTCGACCCCCCTCCCCCCAGCAGCATCCTTTCAGCTTGAGCTTTGTTTCCCTTGAAGGCCAAACTCCAGTTCCCGCTGGAGAGGAAGAGGGTGAGCTGGGAGAATATCGACGGAAGCTCCTTATGTTCTTAGAAATTTCCAGCTACTATGACCCAGGCCGGCTCATCTGTGATTTTCCTTTTGACGGTAAGGGTTGGGGATGGGTCCAGAAGCTGCTTCAGCTGACGGAAGTGCAGAAACCGACCTTTCTCTTTGCCAGCTCCCCGAGCCTCTAACAAGCTGGGCCTGGGAATAGCCATGTGTGTATGCGAGTGCCCCCGCTCTGTTCCTCCCGAGGATCGCTCTTGTACTGCGACTGAGGAGCCTCTTGGGCTGTGAGCCACATGCTGATTTATAGCCAGGTTCAAACCTGTCTATTGCTCCAGCACATGTTCTTGCCCACATTCATCATTTAGCAATTGTTGTAATTTGGCATAATTTGTCTAAAAAAGACATACCCGTCTGACGTGTAAGCTCAGTGAGAACAGAGACAGGTGTTTGTTCCCCTTATTGGAAGAGCCTAGCACATTGTAGAGCTACTCGATGTGTAAGTGCTTGTAGCTCCCTCCCCCCTTTAAAAATTGTAGTAGTAAATCCCAAATAATAAAAATACTTCCTCCCAGTTTAAGTTGCTCCAGAACCCATCCCTCCAGTAGTTAGCCCCGGCCCTGTGCTTGCCTCGTGGTGGTAACGGTGCCCACACTCCTCTCCCCGCAGGCCTCCTGGAGGAGCGTGCTCTCCTGCTGGGGCGCATGGGGAAGCATGAACAGGCCCTCTTCATCTACGTCCACGTCCTGAAGGACACACGGATGGCCGAGGGGTATGCTGCCCCTGCCGTCCCAGCCCCCCAGGGGTCTGAAAGCAGGTCCCCCAGAGAGACGGGGGGCGGGAGAGACTGAGAGCGCCACGGCCCCTCCGCTCGGCCGCAGGAGGGAGAGTCACCCGTGCCGGCCTCTCGGCGTGGCTGCCGTGGGGCTGCCCGTGCGGGCAGCATCGATGGCCTTTCTCTAAACGTGGCCCCTCCGGCCTTGTCTCAGCATTTTCTCCTTTGCAGGTACTGCCACAAGCATTATGACCAAAACAAAGATGGCAACAAAGATGTAAGTAGTGACTTACCTGGTCCTAGAGAGCATGCGTGCCTTCCACTGTCCCCCTCGGCCTTGCGAACGTCCTCTGGCTTGGCCGAGGGAACACTGTGAATTGCTGAGACAGGATGGCATGGGGCAGGGTGCCGACTGGATTTGCCTGTACATCTTCGGGGACTGGCGGGGTGCCCATGTCCTGGTTTGCCTGGCATGGCTCTGGCTTCATCTGTTGTCATCCATGTGATAATGAGTTGCATCCTCACCCTTTTACTCTCAAGAGTCCTGGCTTGTATCATAAACACTGTGGTTAGCCTGTTGAGGAGGAGCATCAGATGTGCTCTGTCGAGATTGCACAGGGACTTGTCAATGTCTGGAGACATCTTTAATTGCCAGGACGAGGGGTGGGGGGTGCTCTGGAATCTAGGAGGTAGAGGCCAGGGTTGCTGTTAAATGGGACAGCCCAGCGAAGAATCATCTGGCCCAGATGTTAAGTGCTGAGTTGATAAGTCCTGTGGCACTGGTGCCAGTGGGAAGTACAGATCTTATCTTGGTTTAATCCTTAGACCCAAAACATGACAGGGTCTCGGCTTTCAAAGCCAAAGGAAATGAGGGAGTGCTTTGCATCATTTCATAGTGCTGGCGTTCTGACAGTGGTTAACAAATAAGGGAAACCACAATCTTTAAATGTTTATACTTTCAGTTGACCCTGACTTTACCAAAATCTTTTAAAAGGTGACAATGATGAGTTTTTTAAGTGCTCCATTACAGCTGTTACTATAGATCGGTGGTCGGCAAACTGCGGCTCATGAGCCACATTCAGCTCTTTGGCCCCTTGAGTGTGGCTCTTCCACAAAGTACCACGTGCGATTGAAACTTAGTGGCCCATGCGCAGAAGTTGGTTTTCGGATCTCAAAAGAAATTTCAATTGTTGTATTGTTGATATTTGGCTCTGTTGACTAATGAGTTTGCCGACCACTGATGTAGACCATCCTTCTTATGGGGCGTTCTGGGGTTGCTGCCAGCCTGACCTGCGTGCCTGTACTGTGTGAGACAGGTGTATCTGTCCCTGCTCCGGATGTACCTGTCACCCCCAAGCGTTCACTGCCTGGGGCCCATCAAGCTGGAGCTGCTGGAGCCCCAGGCCAACCTCCAGGCTGCCCTGCAGGTCCTCGAGCTGCACCACAGCAAACTGGACACCACCAAGGTCAGTCTTCTTAGAGAGGGAGGGAGCACTGATGGAAAAGGGGTGGAGAACCAGCCTGGGATGCTCCAGCTCTGGGGCTTCAGCCATCCCCTCAGTCCCACTCCTGTGCCGCCTCACTCTTTCCCATCTGTTCCCATCCTAGGCCCTCAACCTTCTGCCGGCGAATACTCAGATTAATGAGATACGCATCTTCCTGGAGAAAGTCTTGGAAGAAAATGCGCAAAAGAAACGGTTCAATCAAGTGCTCAAGAACCTTCTCCATGCAGAGTTCCTGCGGGTATGAGCCTGGCAAACCCGAGGGTGGGCTAGTACTTTCTATTACGAGACAGTTACCAGGTATTCCCCTAGTCAGAAGCAGACCTCTGTTCCTTTCACACAGCTATAACCAAGTGTTCCAGGGAGAGGAGCCTTTGCGGGCAGACCATGGTACCCTCCCCACTCTCTCTGCCCTCCCAGGTCCAGGAAGAGCGGATTTTACACCAGCAGGTGAAGTGCATCATCACGGAGGAGAAGGTGTGCATGGTGTGTAAGAAGAAGATTGGGAACAGGTGAGCCTGCTCGCACCTCGGCGGGGTCAGCTCAGCGTGGGCACGCTCTGCCCTCCAGCCCAAGGGGAAAGCGCAGGTGCTGACCGTCCAGCACCGTTAGCTCCTGAGGCCCGAGAGGACAGTCCTTGCTGTCAGGAGTGAGCTTTGAGAATTTAAAAACCTGGAATGTGTATTCTTGCCCATAAAGTCCTTCCCCTCCAGCAGCTAGAAATTGGAGTGTAGCCAGTGGTCTTGTGAGAGTTGTATATGGGGAGGAGGGATTATCTTTTAGGGATGCACCTTTGAAGGAAGAAAAAGACCTTTCAGCCTGCTGCCTTATGATTTGAGTAAAATCTTGAGCCAAGATCATACTGTTTTAAGGCATATACTCTCGTCAATTCCCCCTTTTCCTCAAAGGAGAGTTATTTGTCCTTTTTCTTACATGGAAGAATTCTTTTTTTAAATAAAGACCAAACTGTCCTTTGTTAGAATTAGCCTGAATTGTTCTGAAGAGCATCGTTGCCTCTCAGTAAGCCGGGGCCAAGCCAGGCCGGCGCACGGGCCTATTCACTCATGTTTCACGTTGATGATTAACAAGAACCTTCATGTTCTCGAACTCCGTGGACCTCATCCTCTGTTCAGTTACTGGACAGAGACGGTGGCTATGTAAATCCAGAGACACCGGGGCAGGCTGCTCTTTGTGGGGGGGGAGGGCTGCTGCTGGGATGGCTCCCGGGTGAGTGCCGTCCTCGGTAAGAGGCGGTCTCTGTAGGCATTTGTCTTCCCTGCAGCGCATTTGCGAGATACCCCAATGGCGTGGTCGTGCACTACTTCTGTTCCAAAGAGGTAAACCCGGCGGACACCTGAGCTCACGTGCCCGGGACCCAGCAGATGGACAGCTTGGCCACCGAGAGGGAAGCAGGCGCCGCCCGAGGAATCGGGCTGCCGCCACCGCAGGAGTCTCCCACTTGGACACTATCGGCTCCCCTGCGCCCTGGAGCATCTCTGAATTAATCAGACCTGTGGTCTGGTGTCGTCAGCTTTTTAATAGAAAAAGATTTAGATAAACTTTGTAAACCAGGAGAACTCAACACCTGCTTGGACCGGAGGAGGTGACGGGCACCGTCTTGCCTTTGCATACCAGTCCCCTGAGTCAGGAAACTGCCTCCAGCTTTTGCAGCCCCGGTGTTTATTCAGGTTCCTATCAAGCCGCATGCAGGACTTCACAGGAGCCCTTCGCATGGCTGACGGAGTCCTGAGAAGAGAGCAAGCCAGAGCTCCTCCGCCCGCCAGGGCCACACACTCCTCCTCCGTGGTCACCGCGCCGTGCCCCCAGGAGCCCCCACTCCTGTCTGCATTCCCAGGCTCCTTTTGTGTCCCCCTCCCTGCTCCACTCTCCTGCCCACTTCCCGACTCCAGGAGTAACATGCGTAAGCAAGGCGGAGTGAGAAGCCAGGGGAAGTCTGACAGGTTGACTGTCAGGCGTGTAGTGACGGACCCTCCTTGGACGGCACGCTCTGCCTGGAAGCTGAGCAGCGCGTCCTTCTCGGCCTAGAAAGGCCTGCGCACCTCCCCGAGGGCGAGTGTGGCCGTAGCTCTAAGGACGGACAGCACCGCCCGGGGTGGGTGACCTCTTAGGCTGCCCCGGCCGAGGCTCCTGCTGCTGTTTCACCCTCCAGCCACCAGGCGGGTTAGTTAGTCTTCGTGCGTGAGCGCTCCGTGCTCGGCGCCTCTCTTTCCAGCGGCGGGACCCCTTTCAGCCTGGCCCGGCCGCCGTCCTCCAGCTGCTGTGCAGTCGGAGGGCTGCACTGGGACATCACAGGTACACACAGGAATGGCCCGGTCGGGCTCCGACAGCGACGTGGTGTCAGACATACTTGTGAGGCGCCCGGGGACTGCGGGAGTGAGTGCTGCAGAGGGCAGGCGCGGCAGCACCTGGGTGTATGAGATATCTCACCACCAGATCCCGACTCCCGGAGGCACCAGGAGTGTCCAGCACTGCAGGCGGAGGACACTCGGGAGAGGGCCCTGCACCCTGTCCTCCTGGGGTTTTGCGGTGTCTCACTAAATGGTAGTGAGAGTGAGTGACGGGGCCCAGCACTCGCCCCCGTCTATCCTTTGCCACTGTGCTGTTTGGGCCTGTGCTGCAGACTGACTGACTGGTGGTGTAGACTAGGCTTCTGCCAGCACGTGCTCTGTGGAGGGTCTGAAGGAACAGCAAGTGCCGGTGACACCTTCACAGAGATGAGGGATTCTGCTCGGGTTTTGGAGGCCGAGCAGCACTTCACAAGAGCCACCGTCCCAGCTGGCCACACCCGCCCTCGGGAGGCGGTGCTGCCCTGGCCGCGCGAAGACCGACCGGGCTCCCCAGGAGCAGCAGCGGCACCACACGGCCCGCCTCCAGGCCTGCTGTTCCTGCCTTCCACTCCCGCTCCCTGGGGCACATCTGTATGAAGCACTAGAACAAAGAATGTGTGTTTTCTCCCCTGCTGGATACTTAAATGGACCAGTTTTCCCGGGTTCCAGTCTCCCTTCCCTGGACTGTGCCCTCTGCGGAGGGGTGGGAAAGGCTGGCAGTGAAAGCTCTGTAGTGAGGACTGATGAAGGTCTCACATAATAAACATCTTAAAGTAACTAACCAAGCCTATTTGGGTCTCCTTCCCCCCTCCCCTCTTCCTGTGGAGTTTGATGAAAATAATGGAGATCATAATTTAGCTAAGAATTGAGAAGAGTAAACCCATTAGTGACCATGGAAGAAGTAACCCATCTGTTAGGTGTCTCGATCTGTGCTGTCCAGCACCGCAGAGCAGCAGATGGATCAACACCACCTATGGGGAGCGTTTCCAGCATCAAGTCTGCTGGAAATACTGGAACCAGGGGCTTCATGCTTCCTGTAGCTCAGAATGACTGGGAAGGCCATGGAAGCTATGGAATTGGTAGGATGGACAGATCTAATGATGTTTGAGAAGTGGAGATGTGTTGGTCCACTTTGATCAGTTCCAAAAGGCCATTTGATCCTTTATTCCCCCACTTGAGCCTTCTGTGGCCATTCCGAGCTTTCTCTGGGAATGAAAAACATCTGGAACTAAGAGGCATAGTTTGGCTGAGGCATGGCCAGATGAACCCCGAAGAGTGGTTGGTACAGCCCAGAAAGCACTCTGAGCACTAGGCCGGCTTGCTTCACACACACACACACACACACACACACACACACACACACACACCACCCCCCAGGCTCTTCTGTGGACCCGGGCCTTCTGCATGCTGCCCTGCAGGTCACCGGGGGGCTGGGCTACAGCATTGCTGAGACCCCAGCACAGCTCTTGGCTTCAGGCTCCAAAGTGATTAGAAACAGTCCCTCCCCTTGAGGTCCTGGGAGTTTCTGGTCAGAATTTGCCTACAGGGTTTGTTTTAAAGTTGAATCACCAGTTTAGGTGTTTGTTTTTCTCAGTCTCCTCCTCCTCCACCTCGCTGTGGGGAGAAGAGTGGAGGGAGATGACTGGGTCTGGGTTGAGGAACAGACATGTCTCTTCCAACAGCTCCCTGCCCAGAGGTGCTGTCTCCTGGAGCTGTGCCTTGTCTTGGCCACCTGGACGGTCCAGGCCCACAGAAAAGGGGCATTCACACACCCCTGCAGCCTAAGGGTTATGTTGGTCCACAGAGGACTTAAAGCCTTCACCTCCTTCACCAGTTTAAGGATTGGCAGGCCTGCTTTTTACCTGCCCTTCCTCTAACCTGGACCTGCTCGGTATTTCCACTGACCCAGGAAGAGAGCCTGGGCAGAAGCCACAGGGAGTCATGAGATTGGCAATGCCTTCAGGATATGGGTGGGCCCTCCGTACCTTTGGTTCTAAGGCGCGGGCAGGTCCTGCACTGAGCAACCTCTCTTTGGAGAACAATGAGGGAGGCCAGGAGAGATTAAAAATACTTTGGAGTGAATGAAACACTGAACCAGGAACTTGAAAGGTATTGGTTTTAGGCCTTTCTGATAGAGGGGCCTGGCCTCCTGGCGCAGCACCCCCTGGCAGCTGTTCCCCGATCAAATCAAATCCTGGGGAGTGGTGGGGTGGGGCTCAGGTATCTATTTTACATAAGCAGCCCAGTGATAACCAAACCAGGGTCTGGATTGGGAACCAGATTGCCTCCTGCCTAACGAAATTGGGCACTTCCTGGAGCCTGTCAAACCCCGCCTCCAGCCCCAGGGCCCTCCCCACCCCAGTGCTACCTGTCCGACCTGAGCCTGCAGAAGCCAGGAGGGTGGGTCTGGGAAGAAGGCGGCTTCTTGGCTGGGAAGTGGGCTGCCTGGCTATGCTCTGGGTGCGCTGGCCAAGGCAGGTGGCAAGCAAAGGGCTGCCTCTCCTGGGGGTGGTGTTGCTGCGAAAAAGAGAGAAGATGGAGCCTCAGTGGAGCCACTGCCGGGTAAAGTACCTGCTCTTCCCTGGGAAGTGTGGGCTGGAGGGGTCATAGGAGTGCAGTCCCCTGTGAGGACAGGCCAGCTCAGTGGCTGGGCTTTGATCTGGGTGGGACCAATTTGCTCCAGACAGCCTGGGGGAGTTTAAATTAGAGAGGTTGGTCAAGACCTTGGCTCTTGAAAATAATTCCCTCAATTAGGAATGGAGGGCTAGGACATATGACACTTTGGCTGGGTTTTGCCCGGAATGCCCTCCTCTGGCTGTTGGGTTTTGAGGAGACAGACTCACTCCAGGGAGTTGCAGTCCGCTGCTCTCTCTCCTGAGCCCAGCTGCGGTCTCCTTAGCAACTCGTCTGACCTGCACCAGCCGCGTGATTTTTGGTTTCCCTTCGCCTGCCCAGCCTCCTAGGCCAGTGGTCGGCAAACTCATTAGTCAACAGAGCCAAGTATCAACAGTTCAATGATCGAAACTTCTTTTGAGAGCCAAATTTTTTAAACTTAAACTTATAACACCACTCCTTCAAAATATCCAGGCCGTAGTATTTTGTGGAAGAGCCACACTCAAGGGGCCAAAGAGCCGCATGTGGCTCGAGAGCCGGTTTGCCGACCACGGTCCTAGGCCAGTCAGCCTTTGCCAGGGAGCTAGTGGGTGGGATTGATCACAGTTTCTTCTGATACTCAACCTGCTTAAGCACCTCATGCACCTCTCCAGCTACAGCAGCGGCACTGGTCTGAGGGGAGTGCAGGTGTGCGGTGCATGATCACTAATAATTGGCAAAAATGGCTACAGGTATTAAGCACTCAGGCCAGCACTTTACATGACTTCTTATTGAAAACTCACCACAACCCTATGAGATAACCATCATAACCCCCATTACATAGACGGGAGACCTGAAGCGTACAGAAATTAAACAACTTGCCTAAGGCCGTCCAGCTAGTCCATGGTGGAGCTTAGATTTGAAGCCAGCCTGACTGATTCCAAGGTGCGGGCTTGTTACAGACATGTTGAACCTCCAGTGCCCGCCCTGCCATGGCCTTCCAGGTCCCCGTGATCCTGGGCCAAGCGGCTGCTCTGTGAGGAGAGGCAAACAGCAGCCCTTAAGGGAGGTCAAGTCCCACGCCTGGCTCCTTGGAACTGAGTCCCCGAGTTCTGTTGTTTCAGCGGGAAACCCACCCATACTATGACCTCCAGGTGAAGGTGCTGAGGGCCAGGAATATCCAGGGCAAAGACCTGCGTAAGTGACCTTCCATTCCACCTTTTCTCCTCCTCCTTTCCCCGAGGCCTCTGCAGAGCTCAGCAGGGGCTGGCTTGAAGGGAGTGTGTGTGTGTGTGTGTGTGTACTGGGCAGAGGGCTGTTGCTGACTGAGGAGGAAGGTGAGGGAGCTCAGGCCACAGCCCCAGAGCTGGCAGGTAGGAGCTGGAGGGGAGCACTGTGCAGACCCTGACTCCTCCCTGAGCCTAGCAAGCAGAGCGGTGACAGCCTGGGAGCGTGTGACACCTGCTCCAGGTGAACGGTCACCCTGGCAGGGGAGTTTGTCACCGGAATCAAGTCCTTTCTGGGAATGAACTGTGCCGTGGTCTGTGCTGCCATGTGAGCTTTCCAACTGGCCCCGGCAGGATTCCATTCGGGTGGATGAGAGGTGTAACTGTGGAGCGGAGTCAGGGATGCGGGCTTCCCCTCCATCTCCCACCCCACCCCGCCGCCTTGGCAGCCTCCTCTCCTGGCTCTGCCAGCCTCCTCCAGACAACCTTTTCAGCAGTAAGAACTTGAAGCTAGGACTCCTTTCCCATCCCCGCAGTGTCCAAAGCCGACTGCTACGTGCAGCTGTGGCTGCCCACGGCATCTCCCACCCGCGCCCAGACAACGGTGATAGACAACTGCAGTGACCCCGAGTGGAACGAGTCCTTCCACTACCAGATCCATGGCGCCGTGAAGGTGAGGGCGGGCGAGTGGCCGGGGTGGCGGGGGAGGGGGCTCCTTCCGTGTGCCTGCCCTGCCTCAGGCTCCCACGCCCCGCCTGCCCTGAATCCAGAATGTCCTGGAGCTCACCCTCTATGATAAGGACGTCCTGGGCAGCAATGAACTCTCCCTGCTGCTGTTTGACCTGAAGAGCCTCAAGCCCGGCCAACCCCACAGGCACACCTTCCTCCTCAACCAACAGGTGAGCTGCCCCACCTGCGCCAGCGGAGAGCTGAGCTCAGGGAGAGGAGGCCCCGTCCGTCAGCAGAGACCAGGTCTCCAAGACAGACCCTCCATCCTGCACCACTGATCCTACCGGGGGGTCCCTCAAATAGTTCTTCCCTGAGTAGAGTCTACATGTGAGCTCCTTGAGGGCAGAGCACTTTATCTCGATCATTGCTGCATCCTCAGCGTCTAGAACAGCATCCGCACAGTGTTCACTGGACGAAGTTTCTCATGGAGATGCCAGCATCCTTTCTGTCCCAGAGAAGCCACACCCGGCTCCCCTTCTAGTCCCTGGGCTGAGGGTAGGGACACTCCCCGAGGCTTTCGGAGCTCTTTGAAAACTGGTGCTTCCTTGCTCCCTCCATTAGGATTCACAAGAGCTGGAGGTGGAGTTTGTTCTGGAGAACAGGTGAGTCCGAGTGGAGCCCCTGTCCTCCTGTTTACTCTGAAGTCACAGACAGATCCGAGCGGCCAGTCACCAGGTCCTGTGCTGGCCTGGCCCGAGAGGGGGTGTCCTGGTCTCAAGGCGAGTTTGAGTTGTTGGCCAACACCCACCCCTACCCCCAAACCCTGCCATGCTCCCCAGGCTCTCCCAACTGCATTGGTCACATTATTTTAGTAACAGCCACCTGAGGGGCCCAGATAGCCAATGAGCCCACCATCCTTTGCAGTCAGGTGCCTGCGTCCGAAGTCATCACCAATGGAGTCCTGGTGGTAAGTAGGGGAGACACCAGCGTGGGGCTGTCCAGGGCTAGGAGCCTTCGAGGAGTCCACGATCGAGCCTATCGTTCCCCCTTGCCTCTCTGAAGACCACTCGGACCCTCCTCAGAGCAGAGGTGTGCTGGGTAGGCATCTCCAGCAACAAGGGGAAAGGAGCTGCTTCACGGCTGAGTAGACAGCCTTCCTACCTGCGCACAGCACATCACTCTCTCGGAATCCTGTCTCCTGCAACTGAAGCAGCCTCAGTCACAGGCCCTTACCTCCTCCCCCTTTCCTGCCAGGGGCCATTTCCTCTGAGTCCTAGGAGTGGGGCTGTCACAG